ATTTACAACCACAGCAGTTAGTTGCCTTTAAGTATGTCAACAAATAACTGGACACATTTTTCCAGTACAATGTTTATGTGCAAATCAAAGAAGTATAGTAATGCTTTTATTTCACATAGAACTAAAATTAGTAATTAAGTAGAAAGAAATACTGAAAACTTTAACCACATTAAACCACAAAATATAGACTTCATATAGAGCACATTAAATGCTCTGTATGAAGTCATTTTTTTACCTGTCATTTCAACATTTTTTCTTACATAATTCCTACATGGCATTTCAACATACAGAGTAGAAAAGAAGATATTTAAAATGCTTTCAATATATTTTATTACTATTTTAAATATCAAAAACTTCTTAAAATTGACAGTAAACACAAAGGAAGAGGAGGAAAACTTTCAGATGCATCTCTCCAAAATGGGCAAAACATATTTTGATGGTGACTTATCATGCTTCAGCGACAACTTATCATGCAAATCTTCCAAAAAGGGCATTTTAGGCACAGACCAGAACTTTTGCGGGCATACCAGCTATGAAGTTAAAAATGCCTGGCGAAATTTCACTGTTAACATTTTAAATAAAGTGTTTAGGAGCCTCGAAATTATGTAAATTTTATACTATCTCTTACTTACATCCCCCCCACACAACATTAATTTATATCACATTAATTACCGATTTGAAAATTTATCCCTCCATAACACTAAATGATTTTGAACTTTCAATTTTTTGGAAAATTAAAAATACTTTGCACAAAGCCAAAACAATATTATATTACCATAATCTTGCAAATATTCTAGCTAAGAATGCAAATATGGAAATTTTATTAAAGTTTTACAATAATTACGAAATGAATATATATATATATATTCCCTTTTAAAATTCAAACAGTTTAAGATAGCAAATAATTAACAGTAACCTAGTGTAAAAGTTTCTGTAACCAAACAACATTCATACGAACAACCCAACAAGAAGTTTGAAAATTACTAATCAGCTTCATTTTTAAATAATTTTACAATGCAAAACTGAAGAATTTCTAAAACTTTACAGTAATATTGTATAACTATTCTAAATTGGCTATACACAGTACCATACAATTTTGATTTCCAGTGGAAGGGGTGATCTCAAAATCACTGATCCCTTCCTACATGTGGTAATTTACAGAAGACATATAAAGCCATTGGAGATTTCATTATACTATTTGTAATGCCAAGAAGTGCAATGCCACTATGCCTTATCCAATTTTTGATTTTAACTGCCTATAAAATTTTCAGGCCATGATAATAATTTCCAGTAGCATTTTGTAAGTTACATGCAAAAAATTAGAACTGGCTGAAAAATGGTGTCATGAACAAAGAGTTACTCACCTTCCTCAAAAATAAATAAAAAACATATTCAATTTTATGGCTTTTACAATTAAATTTGAATGTTAGCTGGACTATTGTTCCAAAAGTTATTAAAACTTGAACACTTACCAGACAGAAGATTTATAAACAGATCAAACTGTCACCTATGTGCATTCAGTTTTAAACTTATTTCTATAATGCTACATCTGTCTATTATGACTATAAACATAATATTATACATATGTATACCCATACATAGAATATAAGCAATTCTAAAAAATCATTACAATATGTAATTATATGTATGCTTTGCTTCAGTTAGTAACAAGCTTGTGATTAAGGCAGTTAGGTTTTCTTCCATTAGTAATCATTTTCAAAAATACCACCAATAACAGCAAAATTTATACTTGTATAGTCATGTTCCGAAACTGCAGTTTGCAAATAGCAACCAAGATCTAGACACATATTTCAAGCATTTAACATTTTTAAGTATTCTTTGCCAACTGCAGCAATAACTGTAGCAACAGTTAAAAAAATCGATAAGTACAAAAATTTGCAGAAACTTAAAATGCTGAATTTTGTTACACACAATTGCAGCAAGCCTCCATCAGGTAATCAGGTATTATACAAGGGATCCTCAAATTTAATTATAAGATTCTTAAAGAAAGGGGGGCAATGATCAGTATATGATTTGAAACTCCACTATGGAAACAATAATCAGTGAAATTCCATACATATGAAAAAATAATAATGCTTTTACTTGAATATAACAAGCACTCTTATTTATTTTGAAATGTTTAATTATTAAAAAATTATTTAAAAATGAAGAGAAAACATGCATTAAAGAGATTTAAAAAATAATTACAGATGATAACTGATAGCAGTTATAGTATAAAATAAATATTAACTGCCAGAAGAAAGGAAGGAGTTTTCAATACTGCACAGTGATATCTAATGTATTTAGACTCATTTCCCTGGCAATTATTAGTGCAGTAAGACAGAAACAAAAATATGCTTATAACTTACATAAAATTTATTTATTCGAATAATATGGATGCTCAACAAATTTACAGCTGGCATTTACTCAAAGATACTGTTTGAATTGACAGAGGATTTTTTTTTTTTTTACCTTATTATTAATGAATTCTACACAAAAACTCTGCCAAACTCAGAACCCACACATAAAATGTTTTGAAGCTGGGATTCATTAGACTAGACAACACATCACAAAAATACAGTCAGCATACATGGCAAAAAATATTTAATATATAGCACCTTTTATTAAACACTGTTTAAATAATTCTAAAGAATATAATTATGTACAGATTAGATTGAATTAATGTCATTGAAAAAGTAGAAAAAATGTTTAATTTTACTCAACTTTTAATTCTGCCTCCACCCCCCCCCAAACTCGCCTTTTAACGCAAGAAGCAATGCTTATTAGCAAGAAAAAGATATTTCTTGCAATTAAAATATTACAAACAGGAAAACAGAAGCAATGTTCTTTATACAAACAAATGACAATTAAAATGGTAATTAAATAATACTTCATACTTAGCTTCAAATAAAAAATCAAATTTTGATATAAAAAATATGAACTGACAAATTATTTTCCCCAATTCTACTTTTAATAAATGTTTTAAATGTTTTATACATTTAAGGCTAATAAAATACCTTTCTCCACTTATATTTAAAGAAAATATTATTCATCCAATCATTTTTTTAAATTAGCTGTACTACAGTTAATTTCAGAATAGAATGATTTTAAAAATAAATAACACAAACAACATGCATAAATATATTTTTCAATGTTTCATACTGCAAAGGAAGCAGAATATTATGAAAACTAAATACTTAAATATTATCTACCAAAAATTTTAATTCAGTTGTTTCTTAAATTATGCGTGATGATAAGTACAGATAAAAAAATAATAAATAAAAAAAACTTTACTATAGTTTTCCCTCGCATTGTGTAATGCTTTTATAAAAAGAAATTAATAGCCTGACTTTTGTGATTTAATTAATTCTCTTTATCTGTAAGCAAAATAAATACAAATTATATTTATCAATACATAAAATATTCCTGTTAGATATAAGTTATTTTAAGTAATGTCACACAATATTTTCTCTCATCACTTTTACAGTAATGCTATCATTTCTGCAATATACAGCTTAAAATACTAAAACTAAAATGACATACTGTATCATTATTATATACAACAAAAGTGATACAGAAATTTCAAAATAAAACCTGCAGATGCAGTTCTTGGTGTACTAAAAATTTAGTCATTAGAAACTAAAGAAAATATTTATAACTCTTTAAAATGTATTATATAAACACACAAATATTTCATAGATAACTATACTTATTTCTTTTTCATTTTGAAATATTTTGAAAAATTAATGTTTATATTTTTATTCTAGCAATTTAATAATACGAGGGCCATCCAGGAAGTAGATTACGTTTCCGTCTGTGTCCGCTAGGGGCGGGGCTAGCGCGGCCATCTTGGGGTCAGAGCGTTGCGCAGCTCAGTCTGCATCTAGCCGTGCTAGTGAGAGGTTCGTGCTGTGCTCCGTTCAGATACTGTGACGGTTTGAAATGTCTGCGTTAATTGAAAATCCCGCGAGCTGCAAGGTGCGCTCAGTAATAAGGTTTCTGACTGAAAAAAACTGTAAACCGATAGAAATCTATCGGCAGCTTCGTGAAGTGTATGGGGACAACATTATCACTGAAGGTGGAGTGCGTCAGTGGGTCATAAGATTTCAAAATGGCCGAACCAATGTTCACGACGAAGATCGAAGTGGGAGACCCAGCATAGTGACCGCCGAACTTCTCGAAAAAGTCGATGCTAAAGTCCGTGAAAATCGAAATTTCACAATAACGGAACTTTCTTTGAGTTTTCCACAAATTTCGCGAAGTTTGTTGCACGAAATCATCAGCGAAAAGCTTGGTTACCACAAGTTTTGTGCAAGATGGATTCCAAAAATCTTGACAGAGGACCACAAAAATCAGCGAATGGCTGCAGCATTGAACTTTTTGGACACTTACCATAAGGATGGTGACTCTTTACTCGATCGCATCGTTACTGGTGACGAAACATGGGTGAAACATGTGAACTGTAAAACGAAATTGCAATCAATGCAGTGGGGGCACACAAGTTCTCCCCAAAAACCCAAGAAATGCATGCAAACAATGTCGGCAAGGAAGATGATGGCGACTGTTTTTTGGGACAGAAAAGGTGTAATTTTGGTGGACTTCCTGGAAAGAGGCACTACAATAAACTCTCAAAGGTATTGCCACAAACTCTCCAAAAACTCAGAAGAGCAATTCAAAACAAGCGCAGAGGAATGTTGAGCTCTAAGATCTTGTTGATTCACGACAACGCCTGGCCCCACATGGCAAATGTCACTCGTAAAGTTCTTGAATCTTTTAAGTGGGAGTTGTTTCCTCATGCGCCGTACAGTCCCGACCTGGCACCGAGCGACTTCCACCTATTCCCAGCAATGAAGAAGTGGCTGGCTATGCAGCGTTTTGATGACGACGCACAGCTGCAAGAAGAGGTAACGAAGTGGTTGAAGGCGCAGGCGGCCGAATTTTTCGACGAAGGAATTTCCAAGCTCGTACATCGCTACGATAAATGCCTTAATTTGTATGGTGACTATGTAGAAAAAGTAGTATTTGAGTGTGGCTTTCATCTGTATATAATAAAATTTGTTTCCTATACTTTGTTTATATTTTTATTCCAAAACGTAATCTACTTTCTGGATAGCCCTCGTATGAAATTTTTCTATTCAAAACATACTAACTTCATGTCAAGATGCATTTTTGCATACGAATCAATCTCCTCTATAAAAAAAATATAAGTTGTTATTTACAGAATTTATTATGTGAATTTATCAAAGGCAAAAATTAATCTATGATTCTCCTGAATTTTAACAATTTTACCTTTTTTCCCTGTTCTCTAAATACCAATCAAGCTCTCTTTCAGATTCAAAATACAAGTACAACACAAAACATATCACCTGGGTGCACAATAGAGATTCAAAAATAAATAATTTCATTTTGTAGAGATACTGCAATGCAGATAAATAAAGCAGCCAAACCTTTTGGATAAAACACGCTAATAGAAGTATAATCAGCAAAAGAGCATTAATAAAACTCTTTAACAAATTATTCAATAAGTCTAAAATTCCCAATTAATGTGCTTAAAATCATTGTAAAATATAAATAAAGCTCTACAATACACATACTTTTAACACATGCATATTGTGTATATATTTACAAATCTAAAGAGGTATGTGCAAAACAATACATTTTTTACAAAAACATTAGAATATCACAATCACAGACAATTCCACATAATTAGTTTTTATGCTTCTTTAGTGTAACACATTTAAACAATTGTCGCAGTCCCAATTTTAATGTCATCATCAAATGATTTCTGAAAATAAAAGATCAAAAATATGAAGTTCATAAAAACAAAAACTATGTAATTATTCCTACAGCATTTTTATAAATTATCAGAATGAAATTCTCAGGTACTTCAAATACTACATATCTAATTTAGAAAGATACTGAAATTTTAAAATTTATTTCTAATTAGGTGTGTGTGTGTATTTAATTATGGCAAAGCTCACTAGGGCTATCTGCCTAAGGGGAGGGATGCCTTCGTGGAGGACTTTCTAAGGGAAACTGACTCGTATACACGTTACACATGAGGAAAACCACGAAAACACCCATGCAGCCAGCCCGTTCGCGGGATTCGAACCTCGGACCGAACTACCAGTGTTCAGCGACTTTACCGCTCGGCCAATGGTGGGCTATTTCTAATTAGGAACAAAAGTTTATAAATGAATCATTAAATACATAAATATTAAAACCAAATGTACTATTTATTAACCATCACATACAGCTAAGTATTTGCATGATCTTTCCTATTTCAATACCATGAAACATAATTAAAAAATAATACTTTGTAAATTTTTTGTATTGGGTCATCCAGACAGTTCTGCAGTTTTTTATGATAAATATATATGAAGCACACTACAAAAGCATAAGGAAATTTCATTAAATCAAATAAGCACCATTTTATTCAAGACCTTTTGACACATCTCAGGCAGCTGAATAACCTCCTTTTATAAAAATCTTAAGTTTATCCGTAAAGAAGTTATTGAGATGCTGTTTGTGAGTCTCCAAAGAAGTAGGCTGAAGGCCATTCAGAGAATTTCTAAGTGATCTGAATAGATGAAAATCCAAGGGCTCAAGCTCTGGTGAATATTGGAGGGGGGAGGTGAAACAAAACATCTTTGACACTCATCAAAATGTGGGACTGAGCACTGTCATAATGGACAACTTCCTGATCAATGGTTAGTTCCTGGCACTTTGCTTCAATTTCGCTTTGAAAACTGTAATTTTAAAATGGAATTTTCCCAAATTTGTTATTTTATTTTGTGATAATTCATAATACACAATTTCTTTGCAGTCCTACCATACAAAAAGCATTATGTTTTGGGGAGCAAATCCCTCCCAATGTTATTAAAGAAGGTTTATTTGTCTTACCCCATGTTTTTTTTTTTTTTTTTTTCTTGTAACATTTATTATATAGTATTCAGCTCTCATTTTCAATGATGAACTGTTTCAAAAAAGAAGCTTATTTGATAAATTTCAGCTAAGAATCATATGACAAAATTAAAGTATGCATATTCTGCACAGTTAAAGTACAATGCATACATCATATCGGCAGCTTACATAACACATTCTTCTTCAAATGGCCATGTGTTATATTTTTTGGAATATTTAATCTGTCTGATAGTTCCTGAACTGTATAACATGGCTTTTCAGAAATAGCTTCTTTTAACAGGTCCTTATCTGCAAAGGGTGTTTTGACCAAAGTGGGCATAATATTCAAGGCTGGAATTGGCCATGCTTACACTTTTCAAACAGAATTATCAGAAACATCACTTTGTCCATATACAGCACGAATTTTACAAGCAGTCAGAGTAGCACTTTTTCCTCTTCAAAATAAAAAAGCATAATATGATGAAAATGAACTTTTGGATTCTCCATTCTTAGCACTGCACCTGAAAACAAATATTTGATAATACATGCTAGAATTATGAAATGTGAGCAGAAAAGACTATTTACACATTTGCTTCAGACTCCTGATCAGAAATAACAAAATAATTAGGAGAAAACGTGCTTCGATTTGAAAAGTTGCAGAGCTTTCCAGATGACCCAACATATTAGATATTTTGTAGAAATAACTTAAAAATGATGTTTTCATTAATTTCAAATATATTCAAAAAGACTAATGCACTTACACACTTAAAAAAATTGTATTTCTCCCAATACTTCTTTTTTTTTTTTAATAACTTAGTAAATTATTTAAAAAACGAAATAGTTTCTGGAAAATTTTGCTCGCAAAGGATAAGTGAGAATGTTCCCCCCCCTAGATACTTATATTATACATTTCTACCAACTGCATAGTTTCTTAAAAAGGAAGGGAACTATAAAAAAATCATATCAACTTTATTGGTGGGGTGGTTCTAAAAAAAATTAATCTAAAATTTGTATAGTCTTCACCGAATAAAAAATTCCGATTACAAAGAATTCCCAATTACCTATATTACAGATTATTCATGCATCAACTTTGAAGAACATAAAAATGTATATTTTAAAAGAATGTCAACATTTTTGATGCACTAAATTGCATTCCTCGACTGCATGAAAGGTGATTTCCAGAAGGAAGTCAACTCAATGTAACTAACTGACTATGAATTTTGCATATAGAGTTATGTGTTTATAACTCATATAAGCATAACTGAGATTTTAACCAACATAATTTTTATCTGCAGTTAACATACAAAAAATTAAAATACAGTCAAAAGTCTTTAATCCGGACTCGTCGGGACTTTGGCGATTCCGGATTATCGATTTTTCCGGATTATAGATCATCAGTTTAAATCTGGTAAGATGGCATGCAGAAATTATAAAATTAAAAATATGAAACCGTAATTTATAAAATAATGAGCAATTATGATCTAAAGGGTATCCAAAATTTACCAAAAAGAAGCCTAATATTTATTGTTTACTTTATTAAACATTTCTTTTAACGCGCGGATGCGTAAAGCATACCTTACTCATAGCCGAAATTAGAAAATTGCAACCAGAAAACTATGTGATTTGTATTCGTGATATTTATAATGACGAGGAATTTGATTTAAATCATATCAAAGACGGAGTACATCGAAATTAAATACTACATTTAGTAAGGAATTATAAGCCGACTAAAATAAAACACCTGCCCTGAAGATAACGATAGTGTTGACAGATCAACTTCCAGTTCATTGCGCGCCGTCGCGATGTATGTAAAAAATGTAAAATGTAAAAAACAAATGTAAAAATGTAAAAAATGACAAATGTAAAAAAACACTGAACTACCCTTCTTCTCCAGATCTCTGAAAGACTGCTGTATATTAACAATAATATCGTTACATGAAGAGGTATTTTTGAGGGACTCCAGGGAAGAGAGTGAATCTGTACAGATTAAGTAGCTGGAACCACGTTCATCCTGGCTAATTATCTACTTAATTGCAAAATTAATACACAGAAGCTCAGAAATATATACAGTACATTCATTTCTAATGCGAAATGGTGGTACTCATTTCAATATTATCTTCAAAAATAACATAAGCAAAAACAACTTTATCATCAATCCTACTACCATCCGTATATAGCACAAGTGAGAATGAATTTACATCAGTGTCCTTACTACCCAGAATCTGTACTGGTTGTCTTACAGAAGGATGTGGAAGAACAGACAATAGCAATAAATGATCAAAATGAGAACTGGAGCAGTTTGCAAGACTATTCTTGTAATCTATATAGGTCAGAATAAACAAATCCAGCGGTGGAAATCCGGCAAGAGAGAAAACAGCATTGTAACTAATAGTTTAGTAACCCCTTATAACACGCAGTAAAATTTGTCTTTGAACTCGAAGCAGGCGATTAGAGTTAATTTTCTTTTCCCCAAGCTCTACATCCATATGAAATAAAAGATACAATGCCTTGTTTATAAATAATTGCATTAACATTTGATTTAATACCAAAACTATTATATGCAATTCGATTCAGCCCATGCTGAAGTCTCTCACATTTATTAGAAATGTAGGAAATATGCTTTTTCCAGTTTAATTTGCTGTCCAACAAAACATCTAAATATTTAATTTCATTCACCCTCTCAAGGCGATTATCATTTAGAAGTAATTGATATCCTTCATAAGTAGTATTTTTTCTATCAATAAACATGGTCTTGGATTTAATCATCTTTAATATGTATGTACAAGCAGTTACATAACTATTTTATCACCATATACTTTCATGTAACTCGCACTTCATATAACAGAAAATAAATTCCTGTGGGATAACACTTTCCTGCTACAGAAAATGAGTCAAAATGCACAATATTACATGATGCTACATGACTGTCACTAATAATGGCAGATTTCTGCTATGGTATAACTGTTACTCCATCTTTTTAAGGATACAGTGTTGCCACCCCATCAATAAAAATACATTTACCAACAAAATTTCTTCAGCAAGTATAATATCTTTTTTTGACTTTTTTATTTATTACAAACTTTACATAATTATTTACTTGACAGTTTCTTTTTACAAATTCCACATGGTTTAAGAAAACATGACAGCAAATCATCTAAAAGGTAATATACATAATATGGGAATATGTCACTCAGATGGTTAATATTCACAATCAGAAATAGGTTAGCTATGTGGCATTCTAACAGAATTCTTCATAAAAGGGATTAATACAAAGCAGAAAATGATTAAACTCTTCTGCCATAATTAATGCAATCAAAATATATTTGTGCTATAAAGGAAATGTTAGTCAGTTTACAGCAATATAACTGAAAGCTATATAGAAGGAATTAACTGGGACTCATTTCGTTTGACATGGAAAAAAAACAAAAATTGCATGCAGCCACTATGTTCTAGAATCAGAGTCTAAGAACCAACCTACCAATATTCAATTGTTTTCTACTAACCAGAACAAAAACTTAGGACAACAATCAGTGGTGTTTCCTGGTGAATTGCTGCTGAGTAGACTATTAGAGGTAAACTTATTCATAGCTCTATTACACATAGTGGAAATTGTGAAAACCATGCATATAACAAGCATCAGGAACAATGTATAGAACAAATTATTAATATCAGGTAACTAGCTAGTGGCAGTTCTCATGACAGAGGAAGAAGAAGACTATAATTACCATTGTATGAAGACTTCATGAAAGGATCATAAATACAAAATAAATAATTCAAATGCATGCAACATATTTTTCTGAAAAATATTACAACAGAAGTCAAATATAGTGAGAAATTGAAATACAATTGTTAAAATGTGGTTGTATTACTTTTAGAAATATCCAGAATTTATGTTTCATATTAATTGCTAAATTTAAGTTTCCCATAAAAGTTTCCACTGAAATATTTTTTGATTTAACTAGGAAGCATATGATGAAACATGGAAAAATATCTCATAAATAAAAAAAATTGATTCCTACTTAGATTGATCAAAAGTAACAAACAGTCCACTGTAACTTAATAATGGCAAATACTACACAAATGAAATTTCATAGGTAGAAGCACTTTTTTCTTAGCTCCTATTTTTACTTCCTTGTACGAAGTAAAAAGGAAGTATTGTAATCGCGAAAAGCTTCAGGCAGCATATATTTTAACAAAAATATCCATTTTGATCGCTTTTGAATGGAATTTAACGATGTTTTTGCGTGATATCTGTACGTAAGGACAGAATAAAAGACTCCTTTCCTCCAAAAAATTATAAAACTGCTTTAAACTGAATTCTGAAGAGAATTTCTCATGGCGTCTGTACGAACGTACATACGTATCTCGCATAACTCAAAAACGAGTAGCCTCAGAACGTTGAAATTTTGTATATAGGACTACTATAACACGTAAACGTGCACCTCGTATTTTGGTTTCAATCGGCTGCGCCAAACGTATATAAATATATTTATAAATATATCCATTCTGTTACCCGGCTCACTGATCTCAGTTTCTTTACTCTTATATGTTTTAAATTGTACATTTTTTTCTTTAAAAATGATTGAATTATGTTGTTTTTATCTTCTGGTTAAGGGTTTTATGCCTTTAGTTAATCTGTATTCAATATTTTTAGAATTATCAACAATTTTTAAGTTGTTTAAGTGCCACTAAGCCTATTTTGATGTAGACCATTGCTTGTTTACATTTGAAACAGCTGAGTAGTGAATTTGTTGCCAATCTAGAGAAACGTAGCTTCGCAACAACAAAGATAAACGCCTTCATTTATTATTGAGATTTAAATCATGCTTAATCCTTTCTGGAATTTTTTAGAGGAAATAAGTGTTTAAGATTTACTTAATTTTTAATAATTTAATTTTTAATAATTAGTAATTTTAAGTAGGGATATTTTGAGTTTTTATGTATTTTTGCCTTGTCACAAAGTGAGAACTGAATTTATTGAATGAGAAATACTCAATCGTCTATGAAAAACTGTTTCTTTTTTGTTTTGTTTGCTTAATTTCATTTATACATCGTTCTAGCTTTATTATAGTACTTGAATAGAACATGTGGCAACGATTAGATAATTCTTTAAATTATACAAATTTTGTGAATTCTGAGTTATAATATGAACGAAATATAATACTGTTAAGTGAACCTAGCGCCAGAGTGTCGCTATGGTAAACAAATAGAGTGAATTTTAAAGAATGCACTTATTCTATTGTGGTTTATGCGCTGTCGGCGAAGTAGATATAATTAAATCCAATAAGTTTAAACAAAATGCAAGAAAAAATGCGTATAATTTAATATTCTGTACAAGGAAGTCATGTGGTGTACACATCAGATTTTTTATTTCTTGTTGAAAATAAGCCACCATGGATGATCAATGTGACATCCTAGACAGAATCCAGAGATAACTTAGCATCACTGATTTATAGTTCAGGTGTTTCCAGTCAATGAGTATAGTCCAGGGAACTGAAGTAATAGTGTAAACAGCTTCAGAAGTTTTTGGGTGATGACAGAAGCATGCAGCACCAGCCACAGGACAAGTCAACCTTTGACAGTCAAAACCAATGCAAATGCATCAGTCATTGCAATCCCAAATGATACATGATACCCAGCCCAAATGATACCCATCCCAAATGATACCCATCCCAAATGATACATGCATGCATCATTATCGTAAGGCAGATTAAGGTAGACATAGGTATGATGCAAGGATCTGTGTTAGCAGTAATACAGCAATTGAAACACAAAATTACTCGTTTCGTTGGTTCTTGTTGACGAAGATGATACAAATAAGAAAGAATGTAGGTGATGGATCTCCCGCAAAGTTTCTTTTGGGATTGTCCAAAATGTTTTCATGGCGTTATCATGTTGATGAAACATACCTGTTTCAATTCAATTCTGAAAACAAAAAGCAACTGATGAAATGGATGTACATTCACGTTATGGAAACAAAAATGGCTGCAGTGCCCTAACATTAAGAGCTGACATATTGAGTGACATTTTCAACAAACCAATGCTTCCCCCTACAAAATTTAGTCACTCTAATGCTATTACTGAGCTACAGTGGATTCTGCACAATTGCAAAAATTTTGCTTTACAAAAATAAATTTTAAAAATCCCTTACAAAAATAAATATAGGCTTCAAATAAAATTTATTTATTTTAAAAATACATATTGTCTAATATTTTAACAACTTAAGTTTTAAATATAAGCAATTTTATAACAAATATAGTAAATATTTACTTGTTTTATTTTGCATCGTATTTCATCCATGACTGACTCATATATGGGTTCCTCCTCTTCTTGTTCTGGTCTTGTTAACGGAACTGTAGAATAAGGAGAGCCATACTTCATTGCGTTTCCCCCACAAACTGTAATTGGAATATCATGATGTCGTGGTACTGTAGACATATAACTGAAATTTTTTGATGCAGGCAGATCTAAAAACAAATCAGCAGAATATAAATCAATTTTGAATGAAAATGATAAGTTCCCCCCCCCCATTACCATTCTATTAAAAGTAGACAAAATTTCCTACAAAATGCATATATTAAGTTCATACTTGCCAAATTAAGACATTTAAAAATCAGGAGAGTTTTTTTAAGAAATCAGGAGATCTTTCTCAACAACAAAAATATTTTTTAAATGATAAAAATATGTTTTTAATAATGAATTAAATTTATATAGTTACTAATTAATATCTAAGAGTTTCAGTTACTAATTCTTAAATGTACAAAAATACTTACACATAAATATATATATATATATTATTTGCATTTTTTAACAGAAAAGTAATACTTAATCAGTTTTCATACAAATGCTATAAATAGTGTCAGATTTTGCTTTCATTAAGGAAGAAACTTCATAATTTTGTTCATAGTGATTGCCACGTAGGCCTGCTTTTGCTAAGAAGTTTTACTAACATTAGATGTAAATTTAATCCTTGTTTTTACAACAACACTGAAAATCCTCTCGCACTCTGAATTACTGTGGGAAATTGTCAGGATGGCCACCATTATTCCAGACAGTTCACTATACTTTAAAATTCTATCAGGAACTTTCAGTTTTCCACCACAAAATCCAACGACAACAGAAAATGTCTGTGCATTGTATGAAACGCAATTTTCTGCACATTTTGAGTGGTCGTTGTATATAGTTTGCAAATAATCCCCGCATGTCAGGATTTGTCAAAAGAACCCACCTGACCAGCTCCCTAGCACCCAGTCTGCTTTCAAGAGACAAAAAGTGCTCCAAACTTCTTCCCCAACAAATTTACCTCATCTAGAGTATATATTTAATCGCGGATTTCACAAAAGTCAGGCCCTTAACGGGAATCTCTAAGTTACTGGTAACAGTAGGGAAAATTATCTCCTGCTGTAAGCCAGTACACCGATGACAGTATCAAAGTTTTCCGATTAAACTCCTCTGGGTGTCAGTTCTAGCTGGTTTTGTTTTATAACTTTATCCAAGTTTTCTAATAGTAAACTGCAAAACTGAGACTGCAGTTTATCAGTTGCAACATCAATATCATCATCTTTCGTGACTAAATTAAGTAAAATTGGAAATCTATTCAAAAAATGTTTTATATCAGAAAAAGATGCATTTGCTAAAGCAGAAATTTCTGCAACTTTAGCATATAAAATCACTTTATCATTGAATGGAAATTTATGTAGTATGTAATCATCAAATACTCAACAGAAGTAATTTCTAACACGGAAATGAAACTTATTTTTGTCTTCTTATGAAAGTTCTTCCACTACTTTTTTAGTCACAGCCCTATTACAAAATCTTCATCTTTCTTCTGATTTTCTGTTTCACCATAAATCACAGACAAAACAAAGATTGGTTTTATAAGCTTTGATTAAATGTCTTTAAACCGATCATAAATCACTGATTGCAAAACATGAATTAATGGAATTCTGCTTTGTAGAACTGTGTTAAGATCATCGAATGATGGCAAAATGAATTGTACAAAAAAGCAAAAAGCTTTATTAAAGTCTGAAAACAAAACTTAAATATTCATTCTTCAAAAGATAAATTTACAGTAATCGGAAAATGTTTCCATTGATGAGCTTTTTTTATTTATTTCGATTTTTATTTATTTATTATTATTTTTATTTTGAGAGAAATCTGTACCAGCTTTATGCTTGTATTTTACAATATTATTTTGAGAACTACCGATTAAATTGCTCACAGGTGCAGAAATTATTTTTGTCAAACCTATTTTTTAACAGTGGAAGTAGTAACTACATCTCCATTTACTTTAGGTATATTATAACTTTCAATAGAGCCTTCTACCTTAACTCTAGAAACATTTCCTTCTTTAAAAAATACAAGAAGTGCATTCCATTGGTCAAGGATTCTAGATAAGCATTTCCTTGAAGGTAGCCAGAATGTACATACATGTTTTAAAATTTTTCTTACTTCTGTATTATGCAGCTGTTGGAGTTGTTTAAATTTTTCCTTCCTTTGAAGATAATAATAAATATCAACAATGTGTTCATCCAAACTTATTGGTAAAAAAGCTGCTCCTTTTCAGCTTTTAAATTTAAGAGATGACAGGTGCACCTCAAAATATATAAATCTGAATTTTTCTTTTTAAAGATGCTTGCTAGTCTTCAAGCCTACCATTACTGGTACATTAACGGCACCAAGTGCTAAGCAATTATCCGAAAGAATTGCATTTTCTTTTAAAGTTTTAATAATCAGCTGTGCTATTTTAAAGCCTGTCGAATGTCCTTCTAAAGTGAGGACAAAAAGTAAACTACACTAAATTTCTGAAGACACTGGATTGAAAAAAGAAACAACTGGATACAATTTTGAATTGGAATTATTTCTTCCATCCATAGAGAGGCAGAATGGAACTGTTTTAGTGTACTCAATAACCAAAGATTTATTTTTCATATCCATTTCTTTAATAACTGCAGCCATTGTGGTTTTTGCACTTGAGAATTTCTTAATGATTTCGCTACTGGGAAACCATTTTTAAAATAAAGCTGCAACATAATCCCATGCATTCAGCGGTAGGTTTTGTTCTGATAAAAAAGCAAAGAACAGGCATTCTGCATTAATAACTTTTTGGTCCTTTATTTCCACAGAACAATTGAATTCTTTTTTTTTAATAGAACTCAAGTTGTTCTTGCGTATGTACATGTTTGAGAATATTGGCCCTTCTGCCGAACGAAATCGAAAAATCGCAATGACAAACATCACAAATTTATTACATTTCCTTGCGAAAATAACAGAAGGAAAGTCATCTGTGTATGATTTTTAAAAATGCACATGAGTATTTTACCTTTTTCGTAGATGTAACTAAAACAAAAGATCCTAATTTCTTAACTATTTCTCAAAAGCATGTGCACTCACATCACTCAGCAACAAGATGAATGAAATAACAGCTTCAATCTTGCTTTGTGTTCAATGGCTAATATATGCCAGATGACATGCAGTGGTGCTAGACACTCATTGGAAAACTGGAACATGACATTTTCGGACCTATGTGCTCTCCCTCACAAAGCAGAAGTGCACCATAATTTCTCACTGATGAAATGATTTTTGTTATCTTTTATACGTAATCTAGAAATAAAACAAGATGGCCAAAATCTTTTTTTTTTTTTTTTTTTTTTTTTGTGCAAATATAAAAGCTACATGAAAACTATATAAAAATTGCAAGAAATTTTATGACTAAGTTGGGAGCAGTATACTCTAAATCTAAGTTGGGAGCAATATACTCTAAATCAGGTTGGCGGGAGAACAATAAGAAATCGGGAGTCTACAGCCTAAATCGAGAGAGCTGACAATTCTGTAAGTTTAATGTTCAGACAATCTCTGTGATGTCACTACAGTGCACTGGAAAAGACTACTAGTTGGCTCTCTACACGAAAAATGGCCTACTGTCTGTGCAGTGGTGCCCTAATATCAACACCGTATGCCTATAACTAATTATTTTATAAATGCCTGATTACATTAATCGAAGTCAGTGAGGTGCATGGTTGGCATACCCATTAGTTTATGGAAAATCATGCTACTGCTCTCCTTACTACATCTGCAAATTGTAAAAGAAAAACTTGAATACCTGAATGTTTTGAAAGAAATTATAGTAGACTAATTCTATGCTAAATTATATATTGGTAGATCTAGAGATGATGTAGAAGCAGCAATGCAATCAATTTCCATATTTCTTGAAAAGTGTAAAGGAATGCCAATTTACAACTGATGAACTGATGACTGATACTGAATGTGACTTTCAGCCTCACCGAAAAACAGTAAATGTGTGCCTCCTTTAAAAATATGGTGATGATGTATTGGTAACAGCACCTTATTTGTGTTTCAAGGCTACAAGTCATAAGGTTACTACATATTCATGGTATCAGGAGAGATTACTAGAGGATGAGGAAAAGCTAAGAAATATTAAAACATCAAATTGCTACTATTGTTGAGGTTGCATGATCTCAAGTGTAGAACATGACATGGTACCTTCTAGAAAGAAGAATTTTTGAAGCATTGAGGATCTCATTCCACAATCTCTTCAAGAATTTACAGATCCTGTAGTGATGAGCAAGAAAGAAAATACTAACAAATAGAGGAAGAATCACTTTAAATAGACAACTGCTTACTTACAGGCCTGAGCCTTAAGTCACACATGTCTCCTCTGCAAGTAGAAGTTGCAGCAATTTTACACAGAAAGTACAGATCACAAAGGTTACTTAATAGGCTAAGTTCATTAAGATTCTGCTCATCAAACATGGATGCCACATATTTTGAAATATCCTCCATTATCCAATCACCTCTGACTCTTAAACAACAAGCACTTTATCAAATGATGTATGATAATGCAGACTTCAGTGCTCAAACTATTTATGGGTATAACACATTCCACTTGTTGGGTGGCATATTTTATGCGACTGCAAAGTCTGTTGTCCTGGGCCAACATGCAGCTCAGCTGAAGGGTATACCTTCAGCAGGAAGTATGGGCCCTGTTGGAACTGTTCTTATTGAAACCCATGATAACCTGAAAATTCTCATTTCCATTAACATAAAAGCCATAAAACATAACATGACATAATATTTCATATTAACTGAAAATCTTTAATTGCTAAGAACTTTTTCTTTGTACGTAAAATTTCATTTCAGACATATGCATCAGTACTTAACTATAATAAATTGTAGCCTGCAATGCAGAACAAATGTAGAAGCTACCAAATGCTCACTTACATGGTACCTCATTGATGTTTGACAATGTAGAATACAAAAATCAGTTCACTGTACTATCATTTCACTCAAAACAATCAAATTTCATTTACAATTTACAGATGTAGCACGGAAAAGAGTAATAGAGCAGTGCCTCATAAACTAGTAGGTCTGCTAATCACTTATTTCACCAACATTTGTTAATTCCACAAATGCAAATTAGGCATATCAAGCATATGACATTGATATTAGGGCACCACTGCACAGAAGGGCGTTTTCTTGTTTTCCACTGACAGCCAAAAAATGGCCTTTTTTTCAGTGTTCTATAGCAGCATCGCAGATTATTTGAACATTAAATTTAATATATGTATTTTGTGGGAAATTTTGTATAGAGTGGTCATCTTCGAAAAATGCTTGGTTTTCGAGTTATAAGGAAAACTTGAAAACAGTGCCAAAATTCTGAGAATTTGTTTTGATTTTCATGGTGCAATTGGCTTCCGAGACAAGTTGCCAAACCTAAACTTATTCAGCATCACCCCCCCCAAAAGAAATATAAACAGCTGGTGAGGAAAAAAAAATCCAGATTTTTCCTTAGGCAAGACTTTTGTTGACTCTAACAAAACACTACATTTAATATTACTAGAACATGTACAGTGAATATTTAAAAAGTATGAAAATGAAATGCTAAGGAAAAAATTAATTCATTATAAGACTAGTGCTATAAGCATAACTTTGCAAGGAAAAATGTCTAAAATGTGCCAGTTCAATACAAAATGTATAATATTTGAATAAAGTTTATTACCATATTATAATAAATTGCTATATAGAAAACTTACCACCATAAGGATGATGAGATGGCAGAGGCCTCTTGGAGTATACATATACACAAGCAGTTACAATTACAATCACAATTATAACTGTAGCTACGGCAACAGGAACAACAATGTATAAAATCTGAGTCACATCATCTACACTTGATGACATCTGTGTAGGTGGTGGAGCATGGACTAAAATAATAGTTTTGAAAAAATTTAGCACATAAAAATAGAATTTTCATTCTACAATTATACAGTAATTAAAAATCATGTTTAAGAAAAGAAAAACAAAAAGATTTTCCATTCCCTTATTAAAATGACAATGAAATTTATACATCAGTACTGCATTTGCAGATGCAAATACACCTTATACTACAGATTGACATCACAGTTTTGTAACAAGTGACATTTAGCAAGAATCTAAAATGCTCCAAAATAATGAAGTCATATAAGTAAAGAGAAAAGTAAGTAAAATATTGAATAACTATTGTTCAATCATCACATAAAATTTATTAATAAATTTATATGAAAACAGAGTAGCATTTATAAAAATTTTTAAATAGAGGCAGTTCCTGAGTTATATAATATTTAAAAGCAATTTTTAATAATAATTAGTGACTATAATTGTTTTAAAATTCTAAAACTATGTATGCAATAAGAAAAAACATAAAACATGCTTTTTAACAAATATAGAAAGATAAAATAAATCAACTCAAATTATGCTTAGTTAGTAAAATAGGTACCAAAAAAAATACATACATACATACATATATATATATATATATATATATATATATATATATATATATAAAGAAGAACCATATCAGAAGCTTACCGCTTTTAGCCATCTTATTTGAGTAAATTCAAATGCAGCATCAATATAAAAAAAAAAAAAAAGGAATAAAATAATTATACATTTTCTCCAAAACTAATATTATCAAAAACTGGCTTATGGAATTAAATTTAAATTTGGTAGAATAAAAATATTTATGGTGTTTTTAATGGTTACTATTCATCAATTCAATTTGACTTTTATATTTCACACTTCTAAATTAGTTGAATTACATATTAATTTCAAACTTAATCGACGTCATATGAATGTTGCATAATGATAACAGCACAGACAGTTATGAGGAATTCTGCCAATAATTACAATCAGTCAAAGTAAACCAAAACCAAAATCAAATCATTCTGATCCAAGATTTCAACTTGAATACATCACATTCTCTCTCTAGCTTCTGTGCAGTCAACTTGCTCTGTCTTTTAATATATTTCAAAATTGTAATGATACTAATGTAGTTTTTCAAAAACAGGCATGAGGCTACTGAGCCAATTTAACTGTGCTGACTTAAACATATATTGTTGAGCATATAATGTAAATTATTACTCTATTTCTAGATAATACTGTTAATATATGCATATAATGTAAATTATTACTCTATTTCTAGATAATACTGTTAAAATTTTACTCTATTTCTAGATAATACTGTTAAATAGATTAGAAATATACTTACATATAGCTTCAGCTGATGTACGTACTGTTGCTATTTCACTTGGTTCACTTAATCCAGTGGAGCCCATTGATGTAACATAGATTTGATAAGATATTCCAGCATCCAAGTTTGTAAGAGTATAGGAAGTCTGGTCAGCATCCGGCACTGATATTTCCTGCCATTTGTCTCCATTTTTACGATAATGAATTGAAAATCCTTTAAACAAAAAATAACAAAAGTTAAAAGAATGCTAATAAACACACACAGCAAAAACATATCTAGTTAAATCAAAAATAAATAAATAAAGGAGAGACAGCTTATAATACAATTAAATGACATGTATTTTAATAAATAAGGGAACATCATCATATTAACTTTTAACATTATTATATAAACACAGAAGCCAGTTCTTCAGCCTTACTTTTTAAATAACTTTTGTAATAAAGTGAGAACAAGTCAACTAGCTTAAGAAAATAAATGAAAAAAACTAATTACAATACTTACATATCAGAGAAAGGAAAACATTAGAATACAGATCAGTATTATTTCTAAATGCATATAATAAATAAAAAGAGTATCTATTAATTTATTTCAAATTAAATGGCATTAATTTCTTTTAAATCAACTGAATATTTTGACTAAATTTTGAATTTTCTACAGCAAAGATGAAACCATCAGAACTCATTTCACAGCAAAACTCTATATATATTAAGTTTCCTTTCCTTATCCATGTGTTTATACAACATAAAATGGCATTCTCTTCTTTCTGTATATTTATTTGTTTCCATCTGTGAATTTGTAACTATATTTTATTTTTTGTATTTTTTTTTACTTACTTCTGCACGCTTCGTGTGGCATACTACATGGTGCACAGTTTAACTTTCCTTAAAATAAAAAATGAAAGCACATCGAAAAAAGGCAGGGCTCCTTCTAGTTTATGGAAATGGTCTTTATTAAATATGTACAGCAAAGTGAATTAAGATATAACTATGCTAACCCATAAAATTATGTTAATGCAATTTCATTTTACATTAATAACTCTGCTAAACTTCAGTTTCATATCTATGCTAAAGTTTCAGTCTATGTCTATGTTAAACTTTTGTCATTTGTTTACCCCAAAAGCAATTCATTTAAAGCTACTTCAGTATCTTTTATTTACTTCAGAAAGTCCTTAAGACTATGAAAAAAGATTCTTTTTAGCCCAAAAGACGTTAGCCCAAAATTGTGGTAAAACAACAGTATCTAGAGCCATCAGATTTTGAATAATGTATGTCTCACCCAAATATGAGCATATAGAAGCCCAAATTTGGAATTTGTTTTATTATCTATTTGATATTTTGTAAAGCATTTATGAGTCTTTGGTTAAGAAACTCAACGATTTAAAGTGAGCAATGGCAACACTGTACAAAACAAAAGGAAAAAAAAAACATTTTTATCTCCAGCACGAGAGACTGTGTATTGGAAATTCTAACAATATGCTTTATTTTTAATATTTTGTGATATTTTTGTTGAATTGAATTTTATGGTTTAGGTGTGAAGAACATATTTAATAAATAAAGGTAATGCACAAAACGTTAAAAAATGCACCCTTTGGGAGTAATTTTTTTCTGTTACATAACTTCTTTTTAAACTTTCCTTCTAACTCCTTAGATTATCTCAATTATGCAAATTTTTTTCCATGTCCATTTTTTCCGAGACTTTTTTAATAATGATGAACTGGGTGGGTGGCAGAATGGAGTGAACTGAGGTTACTTTATTTAGATTATTAACGATAAAACACACTGGAATTGCCAAACTATGCAGGATGATGCCTTTATAAATGACATTCTAAGAGAAATGGAACTGTTGCATTACACATGAGAACACACAACACACACACACACACACAAAAAAAAAAAAAAAAAAAAAAAAAAATTTAAATTTAAAATTTGAAATTTTAGATTTTAAATTATGTCCTAATGGGCTTTTATTTACATTTTGTGTGTTACTTTTATTTATTAAATATCATGTTTTTTGCACTTAAACCCAGTTCAACAGCAATATCGCAAAATAATTTTTAAATGAGCATATCTTTAGAATTTCGATACAGAGTCTCATGTGCTGGAGATAAAAACTACACATGAGCATGACACAGAAGTTGAATTCAGTAGCTTTAGAGCAACTGAGTTGATACTGAGACAAATTTTAAATGGAATAAGAGCTCAGAAAGTTAAGAACTTAACTTTCATGTACAATAAGTAAACTATTGAAGAAAAACTATTCTTTTCAATAACTTTTGAATCCTCCCCAAACAATTAAATATCTGCTGGAAAGTATTTCTTAGGAAAAGTAAACCCATTGCTCATATACTTGTCTCATCTCTGAGAATGTTGTCCATCAGACTCAGATAGACAGATAGACAAATAGACAAATAAACAAATAGACTGATACCAGCACCTGACAAATCCATATCATTAATTTTGGGCTATCAATCAGTCTTTATTAACAACCACACTGTTCACAGTAGTAATACATTTAACCCTTTGATACGCGCCCTGAAACCATTAATTTTCGAATTTTGTTCCCCTCTTCTCTCCAAAATTTTAGAGTGAAAAACCGAATTATTACTTATTTTTTACCGATAAATGAAAGAAAATGGCTGCAGAACCACACATTTTTTAGGTCTTAGTACTTCAAATTTAGGTCTTAGTACTTTTAAAATTTCTTTTCAATTAGTAAAAATAACTTCCTTAGGAGTGGGTGACCCTTGAACTGCTCTCCCTCAAAACTGGGACAGAGTTGAACAGTTAGTTCAATGAGACTGACCTGTACAACCCATGGTGATATTCTGATGTTCTACCCACTTATTATACCTGTGCCTGTCAAAAGTGGTCTCCATAAAAGGCAACTTGACTGCAAGTCTTTCCCATGCAATTTTCAAAAACTTTTTCTCACTTATGTTGGAACATCCAAAGTTCTCTGCACACTCTGCAGGATGTCAATATAAATTTTAAACTTCAAAAGTTATTGATGGCACATCTTTTCTATCATAAACAATAAAAATATAACAATAATTAAAACTGCATATATAAACAACCTACCTATATTTATGGCATTTGCTTTGTGGTTTCAAAGTGTGACCATTGAGCCACTAGAACATTGTGTCACAATGCTCACAATACTCTAGAAGCTCCATGGATTGAAAAATTGCCACACAATATTAAACATATATGGATGGTTAGTGATGAAGGTATTGATTAACTGGCAATTATGGCTGATAAGATTTTTAACATGCATTCACAAACTGAAGTATACCAGGTTCATTCAACTGAAGTTAAGAATTCAAGCGAGTTCCAAATTACCGTTTCATAATTACTGAAGAAGATATCTTTGTTGGAATGGCAGATTGAAGAGCTCTTTTTCCATCATCAGACAAATGAAACAGTCATCGTACAGAAAGAAAAAACAGACCATTGTCTAGAAGCAGAAGTATTTGACTTATGGGGAAAGAAAAGGGGACAGCAGGGGAAAAAACTACGCAGCAGCAGTACTGCCAATAATTACATAATATTATACTTCAGTCAGACAATTTATCCAATAACCTGAGTGTAATACATACAGAACAGCACCTATATTTTATTGTTCTTATTTAAAATAAATTTCCAATATCAGATTTAGTACAATAATGGAGTTAGTAGTATAGTAACTTTCGACAAAACAAAGAAATTGCCTACAAATTATTAAATGTGGTGATAGCAGTGATCCAATAACAGGGTTCGTACACATTGCTGCACATGGAAATTAAGTACTTTTAAGGACTTTTAAGGACCAGTAATGAAAAAAAATTAAGGACCTATGAGCAAACGGGAACTGAACAAATTCAATTGAAGATATTATCTATGCCTGAATTTCACTTTTGTAATACCATCCTAAAAATAAAATAGATCCCTAAGTAGTACGCATTATTACTATACATGAATTAATTAACATAATTGTTAATAAGTTTGAGAATAAAATAAACTATGCAATTTATCAAGTAGCATTAAATATTTTACACTTATGATAGTTGGTCATATTTGAACGTTTATATTGATTTCCTTCTCTTTTAAGCCTCTTTTCTAACAATTAGAGATTTGTCTCAATATGCAAACCAATGCTCTCACTAGTTTCTGCATGCTTCATCTCCTAAACTTGTCAACCACTCCATAATGTACCTATGAGGGTTTAATTGATCTGGTAAAAGTTAAATAGTCCAAAAACCCCGACAGACGTGAAGCATATTATCGCTATGTCTGAAATTAACTACAATATCAGACAAAGGTTTAAATAGACAAAGGCCTCTCATTTAAAAAGAACTTAGAACATAAAGGCATATTCTTATGCTAACAAAATATAATCCCAATATATTACCATTTTTTTAATGAAATTTATCAATGTTACGAAGCTTTAAAAAAAATCGTCGAAAAATACTCTGATTTCGGAAATAAAAAGTTTCCATAGAAACTAAACTTAAAATATCCAAAATGTTGAAAAGTTGCCAAATTTAGAACCGTTTAATAAAAGAATTCCCATCCCCAAAAGCAAAAAGTTGTTTAAGAGCTCTTTACTAGAAAAAATGAATTTCGAAATGCTTATTTTTCACTTCTTGCTTAGAAACTCGAGTATCCCATCATTTATATTAGAAATAGAAACAAATTATAACTCATGAACCCATTCAAAAGATTACCATATATACGGTAGTGAATCGCCAAAAATATTCCTCAAAATGCTAATTCACGCTCAAAATGACAGTCGTAAAAACAGACAAAAATTTCAGATGAATAAAATTAAGGACCTTCTATTGATTTTGGCCAAAATTAAGGACTTTTAAGGACCAAAAATCAATTCCAAAAAATCTAAGGACTTTTAAGGACTCTTAAGGACCGTACAAACCTTGAATAAAGGTTATGGAAAACTGCTTTCAATGAATATAATGCAAAATATACTTCATAAAATTACTATAATCAGAATTTAGGATTTTATTGGTTCAGTCTATAAATTCGTGTGCATTTTTTTGGTAAATATTTAAATAATATAAAAAAAAACACAATTTAACATTTTAATCAATTATATATTTTCCTCCATTAATGCTGCTTTTTCCAATGCCTCACCATCTTACAGGCAGCTTTTTTATGCTGTTGCTGTAGAAAGTGGTTTTGATGCAAAAAAACTTGAAAGTTCATAGTGTACATCCTGTTTAGAATTTAATTTTTTTCCCAGTAAAAAATTTTGTAAGGCATGAAATAAGTGAAAATCACTTGGGGCAATATCTGGGGAGTAAGCAGGATGTGGCAAAAGCTCCCAATTAAATTCACTAATTTTTTGCAGCGCTGTTCAAGCCATATGCGGTTTAGTATTATCATGATGAAACAACACTTTCTTGATATTCACCAATCGTGGGCATTTTTTGATCAATTCTGAGTTTAGATGAGAAAGTTGTTCACAATTAACTTCTGAATTAATCATTTGATTTGGTTCTAACAGTTCGAAACGTCCTGAACGCAGTTCATCAACAATGCCGCTTTTTCCAACTTAAAATTTTTTAAACCATTTCTGGCAGTCCTTACACTAATTTTTATCATTGCAAACGTGAATTCACCACAAGAAAATAAAAAATGTAGCACAGCACGTTTGTACTGATTATTTATATTTATCTTCTGGGTAGTAAAATGTGTTCGATATTTACGAAAGTTGGTGATGAACTGAATAATATGTTACTCAAACGATGACAAGTTTCAACAGGTTCAAAATTGTATTGTTTTAGTAAATGTGTCTTAGTGAATTTCACGCATACTCTTAATGCGCACGAACTTATGGACTTACCCTATACTTATTATTTATCATAAATATTGCTCTTATGAAGAAAGTTCTACTATGTGAATTTAAAAGGCATTCGATGGAAGCACATTTGTATTATATATTAAGTAAAAAAGCAGGATTTTATGTCAATTAATCAATTATTATGATTTGAAACTTTACTGTAACTTTTACTTTCTGAAGCTCACACCAGAATGTAAATTAGTTGCTTGAGTATTCAAGCTGAGGGTTTGACTATTTACTGTTAAGAGCTTCTGGCAGTTATGTACTATTGCCAGCTCTGTCAAAATTCATTCTGGCTTCAGCCATTTTGCTAGTCAACTTTAAAAGTATGCTTTTAATTATTTAAGCCAGCTTAAGTAGGCTAGTTTATGTATAGTAGTATATATTACTTAAATTTGCATTTTAATGTATGTTATTTTAAATACCCACAAGCAGATGAGTTTTATTCTATGTTATTTTGTTCATTTTTACTCAGACTGCAGTCTTGTAGGATCTGAGGAATTTTAATTTAAGGTTCTATAAATGCAGAGCCTTACACAAGTACATAATCTATGATTTTGCATTGGGTACATATTCATGTACATATAATCTTATCCTAAGTATAGAAAAATTACTACACAAATTTTCTCAGATTTTCTTCATAAATAACCATGTTCCTGACTTACCTCAGAATTGGTCTATATTTTATAATTTGACTCTAATATAAAATCACTGTTCTTTAATTTCACAATATAATTTTTATTAAAGTTACCACTTTATTGAACTTCTAAAGCGCTTAGCATACAATCAGCGGAAAATTTTTAACCCGTTCAGGACGGGCATCTCTGTTACCGAAGCGTTATTTTGGGACGGCACGTTAACCGGACGCGTCGCCTTGTGAGGATGGGCAATTCACGCCGCTAAGCCTACTTTGGGAAAACATTCGTATAAATTAAATTTTTCATTCAATTGTTCCAATTTTTGGTACATTATTAGAAGAATATTCAAGTAGTTGTCAAAATTCATTTGAAAGCTTTATTATTATATTTTCCTTTAAAATTTTATAAAATACTCATTCTAGAATAATACAAATTTTCCCTTATCCCACAAATAAATATATATGGAAAAATATCCAAAAAATCGCAGATTTTATTTAACACAACACATAATTAAAATTAAAAATATTAAAACTGTCTTTCATAAAATTTCAACATGCAAGCAACGAAAAGGAAGCAATATTTCAAAAAAGAGACAGTGTATGATATTCTTTGACACATGGGTGTCCAACGTTGCATATGTCATAGGAACAGAATATCTGACACTATTTTACTTAGCAAATTTTACTCATTTAGCATTTATGTATGCTTTCCTTTTGCCATTAAAAAAAAATTTTTTTTTTTCGCTAAGGGATCTCAAAGACTAATAAAAAAGTCTCTAATGATAGAACATCTATACCACTATAATGAGATAAAAAAATAAAATAAAACTAAGAAAAATTAATAAATTAAATTAAAAAGTATTCATCCAGAACATGTTCATTTGTTAATATAAAATGACCCAGTAAGAGCCATTACATTAATCAGCACTAACTAATTAGCATTTGTGTATATGCTATGCTCAGATATTGCTTTCCTTTCCCCATTAGACAAAAAAAAAAAAAAAAAAAAAAAAAAAAAAAAAAAAAAGATTTCCCTGATGATACAAAATATTCACCTCAATGTCTAAAATCTAAGAGTAATAAAAAAAAGGAAAAATCTAAGAGTAATAAAAAAAACTCTAATGATAGAATCATCTATCCCACTATATCCCAAAAATAAAAATAAAAAGAACCTCAATGCAGCCAGAACATGTGCATTTGTTTATATCAAATGACCCAGTTAACAAGACTTTACACTGCTCAACATCCACCCACGAATCTCACTCTCATTCCGAAACAAAATACCAAAAATACAAAACATTGGGTAGGAAAGAAGATAAACATACTTAACTTTCCATATATTTCACCATAACCCCACATACAATTAGATCTAGCCACAATAAAAAATACTAATTAAATGTTCTATCTTTAAAGTCAAATGTGGTTCACCCCGCCAATAGAGTGAATTAAATGGCCATTCAAATATGACACACCCAGGCATGAGGTACTGTTTGCTGCTGTTGCATATATGGCAGGCAGCCCATACTGAACGGGTTAACTGTCATGCATAAAAAAAATGATAACAAAAGCTTGTAACATGCACCTGTAGTAAAAGGTCTCATTTCATCATCTAATGCCCAGCTGATATGTATGTAAGTAGACCCAATATCCTTAACCATCAAAACAGGTTGGGCGGGAGGTTCTAAAAAATAATGATAATGAAAAGATTTATGCAAAAATACAATTATACACAAAGTTAATTGAAATAAAAAATACACATATATCTTTCTCAAAACATAATGTAAAAGCTACTTATACATCATAAATTATGGAAATAATGTTACTACATAAGAAATATCACTATAGTTTTCATAACATTGAATTAGTTTTTAATTACAATTGAAATATTCATTATACAGGCCATCAAATGTAAATATTGGATTTAACCATCAAATACAAATATTATTATTACACACTGACTAAGTATTTAATTATTCCTACATAGACCAAAAGGTCAATGGTGAATACTAAAAGACATCAATAACAATATAAATAAATATGGGAGAAACAGTGATTAAAAATAAATATTAAAGTAATAGATTTGATATTGGCAAGAAAATTTATTATTCGATTTTTGCTACTTTGGCATGTCCAATCACACACACAAAAGTTACATTCTAAAAACCACTCAGTTATTCAATGGGATTGTACAGTACATTTTGAACAGTTCAACAAGGGTATCTCTAAATATACAACAAAAATTGATGGGTTTAATGGCAGATTGGTTTTTACATCAAGGACACTGAAAAAGAACATTTATTGCCCAATCAGTGACAGCATTTAAACAACAAAATTATAGCATGCTGCTGAAATCTCAAAAAAAAAAAAATAAAAAATAAATAAATAAAATAAAAAAAAAAAAAAATAATAATAAAAAAATAATAAAAAAAAAAGTAATATTATTATATGGAACTGAATAATAGCAATTTACACAAAATGAAATAAAAAGAAATAATGATTTTTTTTTGGAATTAAAAGGGATTTTTCTTTTTTTTTTTTTTTTCCAATGCTAAAATCAAATATTTTAGCTTTAATATGAATACATTCAGATCAGTTTTTACATCTCAATAGGCATATATATTATTAGATCAGAAATTCAAATTACATCTCTATCAACCAAATATTATGAATATGTAAAAGAAAATTTTGGTTTTATATGGACAACAACTTTTACGAAAGACTCAAAACAAGGACTGTAAAATATTATGATTATGATACTCAAGGAAAGATTTTTCAGAACTGCAGACTTTCAAAATTTCAATAGAATTTTCAGTTTGCATTTATTATTAAAAATGATATCTACAAGATTTTATTAAAAAACAACTATTTAGATCAAGTTTCTTTTTCAAAATTGTATTTTACTTGTTTCACTAATGCTTTAATGCTTTCTTCTAAAAAGCCTTTTCAAAGGGGGGGATATCTAAGATAAAAAATATACCACTATGAATTATACTTTAAACAATTATCTGTCGCACAATTTTGACAAACATTTGTTCAAAAATCATAATTTTAATAAATGTTTTTTAATGTTTATATAGTTCAAAATAGATTCATATAAATAACACTATATTTTCCTTAAATTTAATTGTTTTTTAAATATATAAAATTTTTTATTTACTTTACCTTATATTTGGCTTTCCTCACACACCCAAGCTAAACAGAAAAGTTTCAATGCAGGCACTTAATAACGTAATTTTTGGAGATAGAAAATTTATATACACTTTATTATCCGAAAATTACGATACTTTTATTCAACATCAATAAAATCTATAATATTTTTTCAAAAATTTAATAATTCTTCTGGCTGTGATAAAGTTTGAAACATGGTATGCATGGTATTTACACTATTTAATACTTCATTTCTCTCCTAATTTGTTTTCCATTTCTTAGATGAACCCATTGTACATTCTCTGGCAGGAGTTTTCTTTTTTCTCTGTAGGTGGCATAAGTTCCAAAAAAATGGAATTCAAATAAACTACTTGATACTACCTCATTCAATGGACGACCTCGTTTTCAAAAATGGATAAAACTGTGATATTTATCAATTATTTCATAAAATAAATCCAGTCTAAACCTTAAATGTGATTTTATTCCACTTTCTTTTTGTAAACTTGAAAAGCATTGAAAACAGCTTGATCTAAAAGGTGAAAGAATACTTTTTCTAAATATTTTTCCCCCACCATTTCTGGCTACTTGATAACTAGAAAGATAGCAATCTAAAAGTTCAACACTTTCCATTGCTTTATTGTAGTCAATTATGAGTTTTGGTTTTGTTTCCAATTTTTTACTTTTTCTCATTACCTCAACAGTTTCAAAATCATGAAATGGTCATAAAATTGTCACTTTCTTCTTATCCTTCCACTTCAGAGCGAGGATTTTTCCATGTCTAAATGATATAACTTCATCAGATTTTAAATTTCTATTTTTCAATGCTAATGGTAAATTCTTTTTGTTTTGTCTTACAGTTCCAAGTACATCTGTTTGATAAGTCAAAAAGATATCACATAATTCTAGTGAAATATAATAATTATCCAAGTTAATGTATTTAAGGTAAGGTAATGCTTGTTTCAATAATGGTATCATAACTTGCGAAGGTACCAATAGAACTGGAATTTAGAATGAAATGAAGTACTTTTCCTGGTATATATAATAAATGACAACAGTGAAATTGGTTAAAATAAAATGACTATTGAAATGCAGAGACTGCCTGAAATATATATAAATTTAATAAAATACTGCAAAATATGCAAAGGCTATCTGCCTAAGGGAAGAATGCATTCATGCAGTGCAGTCTATAAGAAACTGAAAAAATCCACAAAATCGCCTATGTGGTCAGCCTACTCAACATATTCCACGAATTCCAGTCAAACTATCACTATTCAACTGTTTCATGCACTTTACTACTGGGTAGACACATACTTCCTATTTAATTTACTTCAATCACTCAGCTCATGTTTTCATTGAAAAGTAATAAATATTATATTACATTGACTTTAAAACTGAAACTGAAGAAGGTCCTAGGCAGTAACAGAAACAAATATTTCAACTTACCAAGATTATGTGTTTTAACAGTAATTTCTTCACTTTGTGGACCACTACCAATATCATTGTAAGCACGTACTGTAATAAGGTATCTAGTAGCACGTCGCAGACCTCTTAAGACGTAGTATGTGAGCTGCTCTTCAGCTTCAACAGTATTGAATGTATATGGTAACTTAGATGTGCTTTGCTTGTAGCCAACGTAATAGCCTGACAGTTCTCCATTCCAGTGTTCAGGTGGTGGTGGCTATGAAAATAGAAATATGTAAACTTTATAAGTTAAACAATAACAGATAATCTGAAATTTTTCATGAAACACACAACACAGTTAGCAACAAAGTAAACCTGATCACTTTGATTTTTAAAAAAATGTCAAAATTTATACCAGTATGTAATAAGCAACGTAAGTAAAAATTAGCATATCTAAAGTCATAAAAAAGTGTATGTATGTGTAACGCATAATGTAGAAAATTACATAGTGTAGATAATGAAATTAATATCAGAGTCATAAAATCTGGCTCAGATTGAGAGAAATAACATGAAATTTGAAAAACACCCTTCCCGCAACAAACAAACCCTTCAATTTAGGCTTTTTTTTAATTTAGTGCTAACGTAATTTTTTTAACAGATTTTTCACACATATCTTCAATTAACTATTGAGCTAACTTTTGCAGAATGTTTTCATCATCAGATAGATTAGTGAAAATCTTCGAAATAAAATTTATTCATCTCTAAATCAACAATCTGTGGATTTTTTTTCACAAATTGATCAAATTTTTATGATAATTATATATTTAATTAATTTATATATAATTACATTATTAAAAAATAGAGATGACAAAGGTCTAGATTGGTGGCTAATGTATTAGAAAGAAAAGACAGAGGAAACTTATCCATGTAAAGCATTATTACAAGCTTTGGATATCTTAATTTTTGTCATATAAAGAAATAAACAAAAAATCACTCTAATCAGCATAAAATTTAGGCCCCTCAAACATCATAAGATACTACTTAATATTTCCAGCAAAAAAAGCAGGATAGAGATTCACTAGTTTATTCATTGCTCTGACCCGAAAATCAGAAATTTGATATAGCATAATTCAAAGAAAATGCTTCAAAATAAGTTGGGGAAAAATATTTTTATTTAACTCTTAAAAAATTCAAGGAACAGCACTCTTTTGTCATATAAAGAAATCCAAGTTTAAGAGGTTAAATAAGTATTGTTAATGAGCAAGCAAAAATCATTCAGCACATCAGAAATATTTATGAGAAATAAACAAGAAAACGCACACAAATGTATGCCAAATAAACAAAATACTTTCTTAGGCCCCTCAAACATCATAAGATACTACTTAATATTTCCAGCAAAAAAAGCAGGATAGAGATTCACTAGTTTATTCATTGCTCTGACCCGAAAATCAGAAATTTGATATAGCATAATTCAAAGAAAATGCTTCAAAATAAGTTGGGGAAAAATATTTTTATTTAACTCTTAAAAAATTCAAGGAACAGCACTCTTTTGTCATATAAAGAAATCCAAGTTTAAGAGGTTAAATAAGTATTGTTAATGAGCAAGCAAAAATCATTCAGCACATCAGAAATATTTATGAGAAATAAACAAGAAAACGCACACAAATGTATACCAAATAAACAAAATACTTTCTTTCAACAATATGAAAGATAGTGAATTTTACAAGTTTTAAATGCCAATACAAATACCATAATCAGATCAGTAATTTTTAGCAACAACTGCATGCAAAAAATTCAAAACATCCTGCCCCCCCCCAAAAAAATATATTTTTGGATAATATAATGAATCATGAAAACACTCTGGAAAAAAAAAAAAAATTTTATATTACAGTTTTATTTATTATTCTAAAGTAAATATTTCGTTTTTATAGTCAAACATTTCACAGTTTTTGGTAAGCATTACCTTCCAAGAGAGACGAATATATGTTGATCCAACATCTTCTATTTTTACATTAACAGGTGCAGCTGAAGGCTCTAAAGTAAAAACAAAGAAATACATTATTTTATAATGCAACACAGAAACAGGTTGTAATATTAAAAGTTGAAACTGTCACTTAAACTGCTACTCAAACATTCCAGCAAAAATTTTTATTAATGTAGTTAATTCAAGAATTTAATGTTAATACATTAAGCAAATAGAAATTAATGCCACATGAGAAAAATATTCATTTAATGTTAATATATTAAGCAAACAGAAATTAATACCACATGTGAAAAAAATTCATTAGTTGAAGTTCATTTTGAAATATAAAGGCAAAAGGAAATGAATTTTCAAAATCCCAAGGAAAGGATCCTTTAACTTTTTCAAAAAATTTACACAGAAAAGAAATTCTACAAGTTCGCATGAGGACAACTACAAGGTGGCATTTAAAAGAAATACACTCACTATAAAAGATAACACTTTAGATAATAAACTTTTTGTAGTACTAAACAGAAACCAAATTTTTAATGAAACAATTACTGTTCTCAAAATTTTTTAAGCACTTTAAAAATGTTCTGTCTGAAGCTTACTTCAAAGGAACATAAATTCTCTCTCCCCCCCTTTTTTTTTTTTTTTTTACACTTACCATTTTAACTTTCCCTTTTACACTTACCATATATATATATATATATTTATACACACAATAATAAAACTAACAGCTTTGTTATTTTTTAATATTGAATAAAACATTCATCCAGACAGCTGTCATATAACACTGAAAACTTAAGTGCATCCCATTAACTTTCAAAGAAATTTAAAGATTTCTCCAAAGAGATATTAAGCCTTTCACACTGACTGCCAGGCATATGCGCCAGTGAGAAATGCCCTCATTTCCCAGCTAGCACACTGGCTTGCCACAGCAAAATTGATTTAAATTTGCTTCATAAAACAACTTAGCTGTTTCCAGCATTCATAGCCACATTTTAGTTAAAAAAATAAGCACCTATAAGCACTTTTCAAACACATTTTAAGGAAAAAAATAAGCACCTGTCTAATTACATTATGCACAACTGCATAACCTTAAAAGAAAAATTAGACTTGTAATTTAAAATATGAGCAATGCAATATTTATTAAGAGAATAAGCATTACCTCAACCATGGAAACCAACTTTTTTTTTTTTTTTAATTTTAAATGACAGTTCAATTTACAGAATTAGTTTACAATGAGAGAAAAATAAAACTATGCAGAACTAAACTATATTACAAGATTTATTGCAAGATTTAATGATGAAATTTTAGTTCAAAATATAGAAAATAAATAATAATAAGCTATATTAATTGTATTCGTTTGGCACCTAATAATAAATACAATTTATTTTTCCACTCATATTAATATTTAAATAATTTAAGTTAAATCAAAATTCTGAACATTTTCTAAATTTTCATTGCATAACAGTTTTCTCTTAACATATATTCCAAGCAAAGTAATTTAAGTAAAAAAGAGGCACATTTCTGAAATCAGAAGACGGGAAATTGCTTCATGCAGTCATCCTTTAACAGTGAAAGCTTAACTAACCCGCTTAATCGGTTGGAAATTGCCGAATATTCCGGATAGTAACTGGAAAAAGAGGAGTGGGGAGATTGTAGCCGTTCTTTACATTTCTTGGCTAAATAAATGATTTTGACATTTCGATATGTGCATCATATAAAAATAGACCAATGGAACTCCGAAATATTCTGCTTAGAAAGCACAGTAAAACTCTTTTAAGTGTTCATAAACAAATCTCAGACTGAACATCAAAATTAATTATCTCTGCAAAATACCCGCAATACGTGCCGCGTAATTCTTCTCCATGTGATATTATGCAATCGGAATCAACAGCTGCCGGTATTCGGAGAATAAAGAACTAAATAAAGGAAAAGAAAGAGACTTAACTAATCTGGTTGTTTCTGATTCTAATTTTCAACAGACTGCGTTAAATTTATGGAATAGAATCAATCTTCGCTTAGGTTGGGTAGACCGCAAAAAACTTTGTCCTATTCAATCCAGATTGGACAGTGAAAAAAAAAAGTCTGCTGCTTCAATATTAGAGATTTTGCGGAGAAAGGGGAGAACCTCCCAATCACCGTACTGTATAATGTATTGGGAAAAAAAAATAAATTATTTTGACTATTCGATTACTTTCCTTTTATTTAAGCCATTCCAAATATTATTCCTTAGAAAAGCTAATCTGTGTAAAAATACACCCATTTTTGGAAGTTTATCTATACTTCAGCAGTTACTGCAACTATATTATAATAAATATTCATACATATGCTCATAATATAAGCATAACGATCATAATAAACATGAATATGAACTGACCACATGGAACGAGAATGCAAATTATTAAAATCTTGATAGAAATCCAAACGTGTGTATTGTTTGGATGGGAGGAAAAGAATACCGAATGTATCGGCATTTTCTATCATTTTCGCAATTCTTTGACCAATAGATGGTGTATTTAATTATGGCAACGCACACTAGGGCTATCTGCCTAAGGAAGGGATGCCTTCGTGGAGGACTTTCTAAGTGAAACTGGCTCGTATAACACGTTACACATGGGGAAAATCACGAAGACACTCATGCAGCCAGCCCGTTCGCGAGATTGAAACCACGGACCGAACTACCAGTGTTCAGTGACTTTACCGCTCGGCCGCTGGTGGACCTTTGACCAATAGAACGACGTGCTCCTGTCTTGCACTCTCGTGCGCACCATAGGTTACATAACGCAGAGAAGGGGAAAAGCAATTTCCGGGAGTATGATTCACCATCTGATGTTGCATTTATTTATATAAGGAAGAAAAGTTGTTTATTTAGTTTCAGCTTTGGTACGGGGAAAAATGCGTGTTCATTAAAAAAAAAAGCACTAAAAGCAAAACATAAGCACTTAAAAAAAAAAAAAAAAAAAAAAAGGGATTTAAAGAAAAAGTAAGCACTTATAAGGGCCTTTATATTTTATTTTAAAATATAAGGACTTATAAGCACTTGTAAGGACTGCTATGAACCCTATGTTTCACTTATTTATAATGATCCTGAAGTAAAATATATTAATATTTAATTACATATTCTATGCTTAATATTTTCAGTTGATTCATCATGTAATTTCCTTACACTTTTATACTAAGAAAATTCTAGATAGCATAGAAAAGCTTAATTTATAAAAATACTTTTAAACTTGATAAAAATACAATTAATGACTCTTGTGCGTACTATTGTGTGGACAAACTTAGTAATACGATATATATTGATTAAAATAATATTAAATTCATATATTATTAAATTCATAAATTATTAAATTCATATATTTACTGATGAAACTTGATTGAACTTTCATATAAAATATTAGAAATGTCTACAGTACATTAAGACAATTGAAATCAAATAAAATTTAATAAGAAAAATCATATTAAATTTTATTTGATTTGAATTGTGAAAAATCATTCTGAAGATCAGAGATGGGGAATGAAATTTGCAACATTAATTTTCAAAAATTCAGTAATTAAATTTATATTGTGCATTTTTATTCATAATTAATTTTACTGTTGAAAAACACTTTCATTACTAAAGGCTAAAAATATGTTGAAACACCAGGTGACTTTAAACTCAAAATTTCAAAAAATTATAAAATATCAAAAGATCACGTGCCATTTTATGTTGTGTCAATATGCATGATGAAAAAAGAAAACCGGTATTAATCAGAAAAAGAAAAAAATATTTGATGATGTATAGTAGTAAAGAGCTTACCAATGCACTATAGATATCATCCAAGGCGAGAATGATGTCAGTAATTCTTCAGGAATGATTTTTGAAATGGGATAACAAATTGAAGAATAGTTTTTGTTTTACTGACAACTTCACAGCGTATTAACATGAAAGTCTCTCTTAAGCATATTTAAAGTATATTTACCAATATACTTTTAATACAATAACTCTAATTTACCCATATGTCCAGTGGACTATTACAGTGATGAAACAATATTACTGCATTGAGGAAAGTAATACAGTCAAAAGTCTTTAATCCGGACATCCATGATCCGGAATGATCTATAATCCGGACCTCAAAACTACAAACTTCCTGCGCATGCATCAACGCATGCGCATAATACCTCTATGCATGCGCATATGTGTCTACGCATGCACATAATACGCTTATAATATACACATAACAGACAGTATAAGCTAAGCTAAAATTATCTATTTCAGTTAATGTTGCAGATTGCATTGTTCCTTAATCTTCTAATTGAATACGGCTTATTATTTTTTGCAGACTGTTAGAGCAATTTTATAAAAGTAAGCTTGAACTTTCGACTATGTCAAAAAGAATTTCCGATTCTGGAGCTAAAAAAGGATCTACAAAGCGAAAGCATGTTTCGATGTCCATCAAACAAAAAGTGGAATTGCTGCAAAATGGATGGCATATCTTTTGATTCTCTAACCATTCCAAAATATGTTTATCAATTTCACGCTGCTCTGCGGGAGGGGGGGATGCGGCACGCAATGAACTGGAAGTTGATCTGTCAGCACTATTCTTATCTTCAGGGCAGATCTTTTCATTTTATTCGGCTTATAATTCCTTACTAAATGTAGTATTTCATCTTGATGTACTCCACCTTTGATATGATTTCAATCAAATACCTCGACATTATAAATATCACGAATACACATCAAACAGTTTTCTGGTTGCAATTTTCTAATTTCGTAATGTATGCTTTATGCATGTGCGCGTTGAAAGAAATGTTTAATAAAGTAAACAAATAAATATTAAGCTTTTTTTGTAAATTTTGATACCCTTTAGATCATAATTGCTCTTTATTTCACAAATTACGGTTTCATATTTTTAATTTTATAATTTCTGCATGCTATCCTACCAGATTTAAACTGATGATCTATAATCCGGAAAAACCGATAATGCAGAATTGCTGAAGTCCGCCGAGTCCGGATTAAAGACTTTTGACTGTATAGTCCTTTATAACATGGATGATATGGTGCTAATTAATTGGAATGAAAAAGTAATCGTGATCTGCTACATTTACTGAACAAGTCTTGGAAACATGTCTCAGGCAATAAAGAGCTGTTTCAAATATGCCAACCTTTTAATAAATAATAAAATAGTGGGAGTTAAAAACAGTGTCTCCAATTAACAAGAATTTTGAGAAACTGAACATATAAACGATTCAGTTAAAGCATTCAAGTTGCAATATTGAGGACAGAAGAAAATATCTGCCCACAGGCTTTCTAAAACAAATCCATGTACATCCTGTGATAAATTTTCTGGTCATGATTATGATATGGTCATTGAATTTCCTATAAAGTTGAGATAAGGAGTGCCCTTCAAGTATTAAGATTAGGAGTACACCATCAGTCAAATAATTTCCAGGAACATGAACAATTCATAAATGAACATTTGCATAAAAACATTATGGACAGTTCATATATGAACTATGGCATTTTTCTAATTAAAATGCTGACAAAGTAATTATTTATATATTTTTAGTTGTATTAAAATTAAATTATTTAAAATCCACTTCAATTTTGAAAGATATTTTTTCATATCATTTAATGTTTTCAAAATAGCAATAGACAAATAATTACATAATCGCATAAGCAGCACCTACTGAAATGCATGTAGAGACCCCCCCCCTTTTTTTTTTTTTTACTTTCTTGTATCTTCTTTTTCTGTTTAATTTAGGATTAGACACAATGACATGAATACTGTAAATGACCTATAAATTCATACAGGAAAAAAAGACTTCTACAAGAAATGACACATACAAATGAAAATTAAAAAAAATTCATATGCAAGGGATTTTCAAACTAATTCTAGAATATGATAATCAGTTATTATCAGACATTTCAAGAGTAGATAGATCATGAGAGTTATCACATCACTCTTGGAATTTGCATTAAAAATGATACTAATATAAATACCCAAAAAAATTGACAACACAATTAATCCTTGATAAAAAGAATTAATATGTTGATAACAATACCTAAAATACTTAATTTTGATTAGGGACTAAAAGAAACATTTTTGAGAATCTAAAAACTGAAAGTGGAGAGGGAACAGAAATATAATTCATTAATAGGTAAGCTAGAATTATGCACAAAACCACTTAAGGTGTTGGGACATTTCTGTGGAAGTCTTCCTAAGAAAAGCTGACATTTAAAAACATCCAAAAATACAATTTTTTTAAAAAGCTGAATACTGGTTTTCTGCTCAGCTTTTTATAATCATAACCTTAGCTACATTATTAGGTAACTAAAACTTTCTAATCAGAATAACTAAAATTTATAAAAAATTTTAAATAAGTTTATAAAAAATACACATATACAAATAGATCACCTTCTTTAGCAGTTTTAAAGTGTATTTGCTCAGATGGTTCGCTGTCTCCTATGCTGTTACTAGCCCAGACATGCAAACTGTACTCTGTGAAGGGTTTTAAACCTCTGATAATATATGAAGTCAAGGAGCTGGAAACTGTTTCATTCCAGTCACCACCTACAATGCAAAATCAGAACATATTTTCTATAATTATGACAAATATATATATTATATTCTAAAAGAAAAAAAAATTAAACTGTCCCAAATAAATTTTAAAGCGAGTGAAATAAGAATATTCTTCAGATAATAAATTTTTCTATTATTATTTTTACACAAAATTATTTTTAACATTAATCACACAATGAGTACACTTAAAAAAGCATGTGGACACAACACAGAAAATGGAATTGCCTAAAAAATTAAGCAACCAGAATTTTATAAATGATGCTTCAGGAGAATTTTTATGAGTTGTGCTAAAAATTTATTCAAAAAACAACACCATTAGTAATGCTGCAGGGGCAGTTACTGCAAAAGAATCATAAATGAGGAACAAAGATCAAGAACAATTCAGTATGAACTCTGACAACTTTTAAAATTATTAAAACATGTGTCACAAAACTATTTTGATAGTTTTTATTTTAAGCACTTCAAATAAAACCAACAAGGAAAGCTATCAGACTTCGACTAATTTCACTTACCAGCAACATATTTTACCATTATTTATATAAAAATTATTAAAAGATAATTAATGTTTATACTAGTATATTTATACTAAAATTATGAAAAATCTCTCAATATAAAGTGTAAATTTGTTTCATAACACTAAAGGCGGAGTAATTGCATTCATATAGTAATATAATAGTAAATGAATGCAATTAATTGTAACTGGAAATCAATGTGATTAATATAAAAATGAGCATTCTACATTTTTAATTTGGTAATTCAGTTTCTTGACACTTGGTAAAAAATTTATAATTCAGTAATAGATATTCATCTATTTTCAGCAAGTGCAATGTAAATAATTTTACAGATTAATAATATAAGATAGATGTGTATGATCTATTTTAATGACTATTCATTTGAAACACCATAATCGCTCATTGTCTTCATAAACATTACTCATTGTCTTCTTCAAAGTTTGCATTTGCATATGAATTTTGAAAACAGATACATAACTAAGAAATACATGCACATGCACATTCTTGTTATGTACTTTTATAATGCTTCATAAAGATAATATTTGACAAAATAGTGCCCTAAATATAGGCAAATAAAAGGAAGTTGTATCAAAATAAGAATATAAACATACCAGGGGTTGACCAGTACTCAACAGTATAACTCAAAATAGGACTGTTTCCATTATCAGGAATAGACCATCTTACTCGAGCACTCCGACTCCACACATCAACAAGTTCTACAAATTCTGGTGCTTTAGGATGTTCTGTTGCAAAAGGAAGAAAAAATACATAGAAAAAATTTGCTGTTAATCTAGTATATTACTCCCCTTCCAAAGAAAAAAAAAAAGCTCTTTCTTTTAAAAATTTCTTCAAAATTTAAGAAATAACTTTTTATAAAACAAAAATAGGGCAATAAAAAATTCATGTCAGCTGTTAAAAAATTCTTGAGTGAATATATCTTTATCTTACAAACTTCATCAAATACAGGTTTATTAATATTTCCTATTTTTGCATATTAGCCTTTTCCAGATGCCAAGACATATATGCCCCACATGTTCACTACTTTAAATATGTCTCAAGAAATTTCAGTAAATTATGGAGATTTAAAATTTACTCTTTAATATGGAGTAGGAAGTATACAGAGGGTATTCACATACTTTTGTAATGATTTTGCAAAGATTTGCATATAAGCAAAACTTAGAATTTTATTTTCTAATAAATTCAATCTAATAGCCCTTTTGTTGAACTATCATATTACATCTTGATTTTAAAGATAAAAGTTCTTTTCTTAAAACATCCAGGTTGATTTTATTCCACTCCTCTTTCACAATCTTCCAGAGTCCATCCAATGTTTTGAGATGCCGCTTATAAAGAGCTTGTTTTAAAAGTCCAAATGCACAGTGATCCATAGAAGACAAATAACGAGACTTGGGTGGGATGCATTTAAAGGGACTTGCTTCAATTACAGTTTCATTTCACATTTTTTCAAAAACAGAGTAGATGTAAGGGTATGGCTTACAACCTTATCGTGATAGAACTTAACAAGGTGAAGATTGTTTGGCTAAAGAGAAAGAATTTCTTCTTAAAAAATAGGTGTTAAAACCTATTTGATTTCTAATAGTAATCCAAATTAATTTTGACATTTTTTCTACTTTCCTTATTTTAAGGTTTCCGTTTTAAGAGAATCCAGTAATAACCATAAAACCTTTAGAAAAACTTTCCTTATTTTCTCTGAACCAACATATTAAATCTTTTTTGGTAGTAAATCGATCTTTGTCTATTCCAATCAGATAAGTATATCCATGCCTCATCAATTGTCACAATATATTTACATTTTTCACCTGCCAAATAATTTTCAGACAGCAATCTGCACAGTCTTATGCTGAGAAACATGTTTCGGTGTTAAGCAATGAACAATTTTTTTTTTATTAACTTTAAATAAGATTTTATAATGTTCCCAGTTCCTATATAGATATTTAAAGATTTTGCAATAGCTCTTTGATGGGTTGGATTTTCCTTTAAAACATGAGATGAGATTTTTGATTTAATAAAAGCTGTACATAGTACCTTTTTTCAGTATGCATTTTTTGCCCTTTTCCCATTTTTTTCCTTTCAAATTAATTATGTCACTTGTTTTACGTGTAGAAAGATTAAAACCATGCTTTTCACACCTTTTTTTTTTAATAACTGAATAAGAGTATTTCTCTTCAAACAATGCAAAAATATTTTGATATTTTTGCAATATAAATCTCATTGATGCATTACCATACCTTTGATCCATTGTTTATTTTTCAGCGACATTTTAAAGAAAATATTTTTAATACTGCAGGTGATAATTAAACCTTATTCCAATTTGATGGCAGTAACAATTGTATTCTAAAATTAACATTTAAATTCAAAGAGAAAATGAAAATCATTACAAAAATGTGTAAACACCCTCTGTAAGATAATGTTGATATGTTTTTCTGCTAATTCATGTAAAAATAGCTTACTACATGGCCCTAATACATAAAAAAATTGGTCCCTATAGCCCATGGAAAAAAGCTAAATAGAATGCAGAATAGGTATGTTTGTTTTAAACCATTGCTTTTCTTGTTATAGAATGCCTATATATATTATCAAAATGGAATTAAAATCAGTAGATGTAATCTACATAAATTGAAAACAAAATGCTAACAGTATCACAGGAATTGAATGTTTTATTCAGGAAATAATATTACAGGAACAAACAAGTAAAAAGAAAAAAAAGGGGGGAAAGAAAAGTCTATAATGTATTGTCCCACTTCTGGTCTTAATGGAAGTTATGATCCGGCTGGACACTGACTTATACAGTTGGCAGATGACTCCTGTGACACTGCTTACCATACACGTTCTAAAGGGCATATTAGAACAGAACAGTTTAGGAGTGATTGGAGATGCCTGCTCATCACAGCCCAAAAGTGTTCTATTGGAAACTGTGCCGACTAAGGAAGAGTTGCAGAAGCACAAAAACAAGCAGAAGAAAGACATGCCCTATGCAGACAAACATTATCCTGTTCAAAACTCTGGGTTCTATGGAAAGAAAGGCCACACTAGGTGGCTTAAAATCTCATTGATGCATTACCATGCCATTGAAGTGTCATGGATGACAACCAAAGTGGTCCATTTATCAAATGTAATGGCACCCCCAAACCATAACTTCTGGCTGTTGTTTGTTTACTTTATATCATCTGCTCAAGCATTTAAAGGAATCACCAGAATCAGAAAGTACTTCACAGATACATGGTCAACAATTTATATATTCAAATAAGATAACCATGGTGGACATGGAGTGCTACCTAGTGATTTTTAAAAAAATCGAAAACAACATGTATGCTTGAGAGTGCATACATGTAACACCTATCTGGAAGATCAATTCAAGCAGCCATGCACCGTGCATCACCCGGCTGCCAGAGACATTTGAGGCTGATCCGTCTGCAGAAGCAACATATCGTCACGAAGTGGTTAAAACTGAAGGCTGACCAAATCAAACTTCCAGTTGTGTTGAGTTCCAGAGTTTTGCAATGGTAAAATCAAGTATGGTAATGCCCTCTGCATGCCAAAAATGCATAGAAATTCAGTATTGTTTCCAAAGACTTCAGCCTCTATTACATTTAGAGACAGCTTCACACATATAGTTAATTATTTTTTAGATAAAGACAATTTCACAGTCCAGAAGAACAATGTATCCAACATAAATACTATACAGTAGTCTGATTGTGATTACCTAAATACTTTCTAATGTTATATAACTTAAAAATCTGAATATTTCTTCAACAGAAAACACCAAGCAATACCAGTACAGTTATACAATTTGTCTAAACTGTTAATTTATAAATCAGCATATAAGTGAGAATTAGAGACTAGAGCTCGAGTCTATAACTAGTGCATAACGATACAATCAGAGCATATCCAGTAGAAGCTATATGTTGTCGCCACAATTATTCAAATAAAACGAAACATTACAATTACTGGTAGGTTAATTGGGTATCTCTAATACTTTGGTTTAATGTTAAATGTCGTGATATCATTATATCAAGATATAATGATTAAATTAATATTTATTTACACTTCTCTTACCAACAAGCATTAAACGTATATCTTTCTGGTCAGTGCCATACTCATTTCTTGCAACACACGAATATAAGCCTTCATCTTCAGGTTGAGCACTATTAATGCTCATAATAAACTCAATACTGTCTGATCTTGGTAAATGAGAGTATGACAATCTGAAAGAAAAACATTTTTATTAAAAATATTAAGAAACACTTTTGTAATATAATTCAGTAAAACTGAATAAACCCATATATTCACAATTATACATTTAAAGGAATGAATATATAGAATAAAAAGGCATACTTATTCATTCCTTCATAGTAATATGCAGAGGTGCTTTGAAAATATCAATGAATAGATAAATCATGTTTATAAAACAAAAGTGAAAATTAAAGAACAAATGAAACACTTCAAATTCAGTATGAACTTATTTAAACAATCACCTATCATTGGGCCAATCACTCAATGACTTTTGGTTTTTCAACCAACTGAATGACATAGGTGAATCTCCTCTAGCTAAACATGCAATATGAGTCTTTTTCCCCCTTTCAGCAGTTACTAAGTCCATCACTCTTTCCACAACAGGATATTCTAAAAACAGCAAACAACAAGAGATTAAAGAAAACATGACAGATGTATGTTTTGCAGTATGTAAAAAATAAAAACATATTAAACTATACCTATATTAAGCAACACTTAACTAGATATATTATCAAATTTAGCTTAAAATATTATGACAGTACAATTTTTAAACAAGCATCCATTTTTTTTTTTTTTTTTTAATGTTTCTAAATCAATACGAAATTTTAGTGTTTACTCAATAAGAACAAAAATTGAATGGAAAAAAAAGCTGAGCTACACTGCTATCATTAATTACAAGGATATTTCCTTTCATCATAATTTGTCTTATACTATTTTGCCATTTTACAAATGGCAGGTTTATCGCAGTCCTACACTGAGTTTGGTAATCTGTGCCATTTGGTCTGCTTTACTTGCCCAAACTGTTTCAGTGTCACACGAGATACCTCTCTCATAATGTTTCAAACTCTTTAATAATTACTATTAGAATAAGTAATGGCTGACAGATGTGCCCTAATTATTTTCAGACTAATACCGTATTTAAGTCTTTAAAGCCTGTAAAATTGTCACCTTATAAATATGTCTTTTTCAGGAATATTTCCAAGGCTGTCAGACACTAAAAGAGAATGTAACTTTTTTCCTTTTTTGCTAAACAGTTATGAAAATAAGTTCATGATGGAAATAATAGGTTGATTAAATGCAACTTCTAAGAAAATAAATGAAAAGGAAATGAAACTTTATTGTTTTATAAAATAGTGTGGATGATAAAAACAAGACTTATGACTCTAAAATCATTTGCATTAACGTGACTCATTTTTGCAGTAATCATCTAATGGCAATAGACTGGAAGGCTGACTAAAAGAACTTGCAATATTTTGCAGTATTTATATGGAACAAAACACCATCATAAAATGTAGGATTAACCCTCCCCCCTCAAAAAAGTAAACCATAGAATCGGGAGGGGGGAATTAAAAATTAAACTAAACTTGAAGAATGCTGAATTTAAAATCTTTGACATACAGTTTTCGTAGGATTAATGATCTCATATGTTAGGGTCATGTAAAAACAACACCACTGATTAGCAAATATGGCCTAGCATTAAAAAAGTATGTTCCAAACACCAAACAAAGACAGCAATTTCATTTTCAGAAACTTGCATTTATAATGAGTATAAATATCTAATAAACGTAAAGAAACTGGAAGTTTGGTTCACCATAACCGATCATAAACCAAAAATAGATCTGAATAAAAAAATATAAAAATCAGCATTGTTGCATCTACCAAAAGAAGTTAATAATAAATTTTAGAAAATCATAATAAGATTTAATTACAATTATTATGCACAGTTATTAAACTTGTTGGATGTTCTCTTCCCGATTTCATGATATGTTTAAAACTTTGCAGGAAAAATTACTTAGCATAAATATTACTATTCTGAATTATAATATATTATTAATATTATTTCCCTCAAATTACCCGTTTATACCACAAATAATTATTTTACCCATAACAAAATAAAAGCCCTAAAAAAATAATGAAAAGAAATTGATGAACTTACTTTCAACTTTTACTTTTTTTCAACTGAATACAAAAACAATCTGATATTTTCTTGCTGGCGTATTGCAGATTTCAGGAAAATTTTATCTATGGCTCGAAAGTAAAGATTCAGTAACCTTTATAAAGTATATCTTTTGTCTTGAAGATGACATGAGAATGCAAAACCCTTATTCGAAGGACAAAACTTAGAGAATGACTATACTGACAAAATAAACCAATAAGGAACAAATTTTCATCCTAAAAAGATTGTATTACCCCCACCCCACACACAAACACAAGATTCGCTACTTCCTCTTTCCCTGAGTAGTAAAACTTTCACAATTTTCATCACTCAAGCCTTAAAAGGAATTCTGTCCTATAACACAGTCAGAGAATTTGAATGGAATCAGAGACCATTCATGCTCTTTGGCTCAATCGTCATTGACAGCATATAATGTCCTACAATACGCTTACCATGTCCTTGTTTTCCTAGTCCCATGGGTTCACCACTGTCATCCAGAGTTATTATTTAGAACTTTGAGAAAGTGGGCGGTAAGAATAAAAGAAAAGTAATGTAAAGGTGAGTTCCTTTATATAGATGAAATGTGGTTCCTAATATCTTAAACATAGATGATTTAAGGGTTAGTAATTTTTCATTTAAAAGTTTCAGAAATTCTGAAAAAAATATGAAACACACAAAAAAGTTTCAATCAAAAATATGCACAAAATTAGTTAGAACTGATTTCAAAACTTTAGAAGTTCATTATAGCATTAGAAAACAGCATCAAGTGTATAGGAAATTGGGCAGGATTGAGGGGAGGTTATTACTAGGTTGTAGGGTTCAACTGTACCTACAAAATATTTTATTACAGAAAATAATATAAAAATAGATTACAACAACATATACAAGATGTTTAGAATAAAAAAGCCCTATTTCAAAGCTGCCTACAGGCAAAAGCAGTCATCGGAAAATTGTGAAATTTTGTGATGGACTTAATGAAGAGATGTTTATGTCTTTCAGTGAAAAAAAGTTAATTATAAATACCACCACTAGAGGGCACTGTGCTATAAATTACACATTTAGTCACACTTTTACAATAGTTTTACAATTTTAGGAGTTTTATTATAACAAAACATGTTGTTTCACATGATGGCCATCCTTTTCAACTACCATCTGATTACCCATGCTCCGAAGTTAAAAATTGCATGGATTGAGGTCTGGGGATTGGGGAAGGCCACATATTATGAAAGTGGTGGCTGATGACATGTTCTTCTGTAAGATGACACTTAAGAACATTCGTAACACACCATGCAATGTGTGGTGGAGCTCAACCTTGCATAAGATTGTGCCTGCAAGGTACTGATATGCTGGGCTAAAGATAAAATAAAGTTCTTGGATTGTCATGACTAACCAGATGTTTCAAATGACCCAAAGTTAAAAATTGCATGGATTGAGGAGGCCACATATTATGAAAGTGCCGGCTGATGACATGTTCTTCTGTAAAATGACACTTAAGAACATACGTAACACATCATGCAATATGTGGTGGAGCTCCACCTCGCATAAGATTGTGCCTGCAAGGCACTGATATGATTGCAGAGCCGGAACAATTTCATTTTCTTAACATTGATGTATATTCACTGCCTAATGATTGAGCAAGTCACTGGATCTGCAGAGCTTAACTAATTGAAGAAGTACAGACTAGAAATAAATGATGCAGAAGAGCCACACCATACTGTCACTTTTGGTGAATGCAACAGAACCTCTAAGATAGGGATGAATTTTCTGTTTCCTAAATTCAGCAGTTGTGAATATTCACTACACTATCCAAAATAAAAATGTGCTTCGTCTGTCCAGAGGACATTCTAAGGCCATTCTGAATCGACCTCACAGCAAGCACAAAACTAAAGTGAGAACCATAGTCGAGTGTCAAAATCACGTGGAAGAAACCACTGCACCAGTGAAAGTTTGTAAGGATTATATCAGAGAATATTCCGCAAGATCTTATGGACAGTTGAACATGGCCTTGAATGTGGCCTATCCAAGCCCTCTGCTATACACTGGACACTATTGCTAGTCTTGAAGCTGTGTCCTGCACAACCTCATGTACTCCTTCTATGGAAATGGGTTTTAATTTTCCAGGATGAGCAGAAATCGATACTGTTTCTTCAAATTTAGTTATTTTCTGATGGCTTTGAACATTGATTTTACCTCTTCGAATCCCCTTCAAAGTTCGAAATTTCCATAGAGAGGCTACTTCAGAATTACTGTTTTGGTTAAACAATTTTACTAAGAAAGCCTGTTGTCATAAACTTATCGTCACTGTGAGCAGCAAGCACATTGAAAACAAAATCTATGTGAATGTTTCTAGGTTTTATAACAGCTGCTGCATGATGTTGACAAAGATCTAAATTTTCATTGCAAGTTTTCAAAGTAAAATGCCCTATGGCATGCCAACCAATTTTTCCCCCTTTTCCAGAAACATTCCCATCCCTTCATTTAAGCCCACTACAAAGTTTAACAATCTTCTGATAACTATCTTGCCAGTAGGTAGTTTTGAAATACGGTTCTAGACACCCTGTTCATTGTATCTAGCATTTTATATATATTACAAAATATGAATTAAATAAAAAGAATTGTGCTACAGAAAACGTTCTTGCAACTCACCAAACACTGTCAGTACTGCACTTTTTTGTAACCCATTTCCAACACCATTTGATGCTTCACAGATATAAACACCACTTTTTGACTTTCGGGCTTTTGAAATAAATAAACTGCCATTTTCATATATTTGAAAATCATCTGATGGAAGAACAGGTAAAATAGCCTGGTGAGATTCTAAAATGAGAAAAATAATACAAGTTACATAGGAAGATGTTTTAAACATGCAGTATTCTTACAAAAAATATAAATAATAAAATATAATTAAAGTTAAAACTTGATGTAATAAGAACATTTTAGATATATACAAACTTAAGGAATGAACAGATTTTTTTTTAAATCCATAAATATTACAAACAATTAATATATAGTTAATTAATGCATGGCTGCTTGACTTCTTTTCAGCCAAACATTTTCATTTCTTCCATTTCACATGATTTCTGAAAATGCCTGAAATTCTTAAAATATTACATCTTAGAATATATTTTAACATGGTAAATGATACATTCGCAGTATGTTGTATGCAAAAATAAAACTGAATTTTTTATGAATTTCCATATTTAAAAATGAATTAAGCAGTTTTAATATGCTTTGTAGAGAAGCATCATCAATTTTAAATAAATTATAGAAGCATCTTGAGTTTTAAATAAATGATATCTAAAAATGTATGTATGATAATATTCCAGAAAAGGATTTCAGAAAATAGAAATTTTTGAACATTATAGGTTTACTAAATTTCATGCTTTTTTAAGTAAGTTTTTACTAAATATTCTAGCATTTAAATTTTATTGCTTAATTTTATTATATCCAATTTATGATATAACTTACATTATGTAATAATATGCCTCCTTTTTCAGCTTGTTTTGTTGTATAAGTTACTTATGTGTTATATATGAAATAAAAAGTGAAAAAAAAAAAGCGAAAATTTTTTAAAATGAATAAATATAATTTACAGTATAAACGTAATTAATGAAGCTTTTGCTTGAAATTATCTTGGTTAATTTTAAGTTGGAGATATGTTGACATTAGCAATTATTAACAATTCATTTAGAAAAGTCACAAAATGGGAAAAAAAAAAAAAAAAAACATACCTATTGCCAACTAAAAAATGTTGTTACTCACGAACAAATAATTATCTTTATAGTTATCACAAAACAATCAACCAAAAGTTACTTGTGATGCCATAACCCAAAACAGATTAGCAAGCTTCTGTATTGCATAACAAAATAATTCTTTTCCTGTGAAAAACTGCACACCATACTAATTTTGAAACTGTGGCCAGATAACAAACACAAGTACAAAATTTTTCTTCTTTTAATACAGAAAAACATCGGAAAAGATAAAATTACATATGATATGTTAATAAAAGAAATTACCAGATTTTTTTTTCCATGTTATTTTCACTTGGGGAGAGCCTTTGGCAACACAATGAAAAATAGCTTTTTCTCCCAAGTGAACTTTCAGATTTGTTGGTTCTTCAATCCACTGAGGTGGGGCTGCAAGCATATTATTTGTTTAAGTAAATAAATGCATTGAAAAAGGTATTCACATTTATATACCCCTTTCCAAAAACTATATGGATATTAGAAAAAAGAATGGGACCATTCTTAATGACCACACCTTTATATTCTGATATTATAAACTTCAACAGTTAATATTTATTACATAACATCATACAAGAGGAAACATGCTGTAAAATTTAATCATCCTTCTAAAAAAACTGAAGAAAAAAATAGATTACTGTTATAATCCATGTAAAATAACTAAAAAAATACAATACAAATACAAGGACATTTAAAAGAATTGCATTATCAGCAATAGACCCTAAAGTATTCATGTCATGCACAAGATCTCTCTCCACTTTTATTTCTCTGACAAATTAGTTGTTCAATGTGAATAAACAATGCCTTGGCATGATTTCATTTGCTGTACTTGAATTTTCCACTTAATCACTCACTCTCTGGGGATTTCAAATCCTTCATGCTGTGTTAATTTTTCTGAAGCTTTTTTTCTAATTAATGAATCCTGTAGTACACAATGCTGATGCAGTGGCAGAAGCATATTTCTGGTAAATCTTGCAAGATGTGCAAAAAATTCATTTTTTAGTTTTAGAATATATAAACCAAGATATTTTAATCTTTTCATTATTTGGCAATGTTCTGTACCATACAGAAGATATCAAATATCTGGCATCATGCTCAGTGGGCCTAAGGTCTACATTTTCTGGATAATTTCCAGCTAATAATATAGCTTGACTGCTTAAAATTGTTACTGATTGTTCATTTTTTCTGTGATTGGCGAACTGCCTGTGTCCTACAAATCTAAAGTTTTTAAGTGTTCATCTTAATGCTGCGCAACTCCAACTAAATGAGGAGATACTTTACATCCTGGCTTAAAGTCCTTCAGCTGTTTGAGGTTGATGAAGAAGCTTGTTTTCTTGAGGTTGATGAAGAAGCTTGTTTTCTCTAATGCTGACTTGTAGACTGCCGGGAGATGATAGATTAAGATTCTTCAACTCAGTCACACCAATTGCAAAAATTACTAATATCCTCTAGAATCTCAGCTTAATTTTAGCTGCAATCTGTTTCCCTGTTTGGCCCTATCTTTAGCGCTTTTTCGATATTCCGCTCTGGAGAGTTTTTTTCCTAAGCACGCTCGTGATTTCTATTCCACTATATGAAATACATTTTCAGTTGCTTTAATAAAAACAACTAAAAACTGACATACTTACACTCGACTGTCCTAGAGCTGTATCCACGGATGCGTTTGCTAACTAAACGTTTGCATCTCACTAAATGTAGTATGAACTACTGAAAGCAGGCATACTTAAAATGAGAAAAAAAAAAAAAAAAAAAAAAAAAAAAAAAAAAGAAACTACAGAACTAAAAAAACAAAAATGATAAATATAGCTTTAAAAAGACAAAATGTGTACTACCATTTCAAATAATGTCAAAGGCAAGCTTAAGTTGCCAACTGGCTGCAGGAAAAAAAAAAATCTAGATGCCATAGTCCATGTTGACAGTCTGTTTTATATGCTTAACCCCCCCCCCTCGGGAATTGACTCAGGAATACCTGGGAAGTACTGGCTAGGATCTTTACTTATGCAGTCTCAACCACGGGGTATATAATTTGACTTCACAGGACTAGAACCCTAGTTCATTCTAAGGCAGGTTCAGGCTTGGCTGGGACCATACTGGTACTGTCGTGTTGAGCTAGATGGTAGTGCTCTGGCCTTTTCGATGGGGGTTTGGCCCTCAGAGCCCAAGTGTCAGGGAATTAACAGAGCGGACAAGGCACCAAATTGTCCGTATGTTGCCCGGAGGCAAAGATGTTCCAGTGTTCAAATCACATGTACTAAGCGTTCTTCTACCTTGTTCAAGGTTATGTATAAAGCCGTGCAGGGACCGTGAGATCTGCACCGCCATTGAGGAAGTCTCTGAAGCTTGGATAATTATATCCCAGTATGGCAGACCCAAAGGTCAACCAGAACAGGAGTCCCTGCTTTTGCAAGTTGTATATGCTCAATGTATGTTAATTAGAATTATTTCTTTGGTTCAGGATAGTCAAGGTTAATTTTTATTGGGAAGGGGGGTCTTATAAAATAGTCACTATGCTTCTCCATTTTCCAGGAGTCCCACTATTGTCCTGTCTCTGATGTTATCTGATCTTGCTGCACTTAACTTTCTTTTAACTCTTTGTTTGCTTAAAAGAAACCTTAGTATTTAATTATAAAGCTTCTTAAAAAGAGACTTTTAAACTTGGACTTAATGTTATTAATTATGTAACTTAATGTTGGATTTATTAATGTTGTGGCAAAATAAGACTGTTGTTGCAGTATAATTAGACAACATTCTAAATACAATCCACTGCCACACTTGAATTTGCCACCTACAGAAGTTACTGCTCTCAGTAGGTTCCCTGTCTTGCCCCCCCTCCAGATCCAGGACTGAGAATATTTCACTAATGGGCAGAAAAAATAGCTATTTATTGATAAAATTATATCAGATATGAAATATATAAAATATTTTCTTCAGAAACAAAGAGTAACTCTTTATTCGGTCTCTTCAAAAGGTGGCAACTTTTGTATATTTTGTATGATAAGTAAATAATTCTCAGTGATATAATTAAAATTTCCAATATCAAACTAAACTAATATGAGTGAATTACACTTTCTCTTTCCTGCAAAAGCCAGATTGTTATGTATTTAAATGTGGCTTTTTTTATTATCTGTGAGTTGATCTGTATCTGTGAAGGTTGATCTGTATTTTCTTAATTGCTTCTTGGAAAAAGTCTCAATTTTCTCTAATCTTTTTGAAAAAAGGTTAGACTGTTGTAATTACTTTTTCTAACCATTTTTCGTTTCCTTGACTTTCCAGAATTTTCCACAAGAATAGGAATTTTATTTAAAATAACAGATAGATGAGGAACAACCATCACTATATATAGATTACATAAGGGAAAAAAATTGAAAGTTTCAGATTTTAAATTAAGTCCAAAGCGGCAATTTCCCCCCCCCCCAACTTAAACCATATAAAGTTTAGTTCAAGTGCAATGTCTCAAAAATAATTTCAAAATGAGCATATCTTTAGAATTTCCGATACACAGTTCCGCGTGCTGGAGATAAAAAGGTCCCCCACCCCACAGAGTGTTGCCATTGCTCGCTTTTAAATCGTTGAGTTTGTTACTCAAAAATTCGTTAAAGTTTTACAAAACATGAAATTGATAGTAAAACAAATTTCAAATTTGGTCTTCCACATACCCATATTCGTAGGAGGATTATGTCATTCAAAATTCAATGGCTCTATGTACCATTGTTTTATCACAATGAGAGAAATATACATACATTTATGCAGATTTTCCATTATTTAATTTCTTCAAATATAATGCAGGACTCTAATATTTGATGGAAACAGTTTGAAAAGTGATTCACCATTTATAGTGATTCAATGAAAAATCGCAAAACGAAAACAATAGTCCTTCAGAGACAAATCCCCTTTGGACTAAATATGGTTTGGAAATTAATATTCAGTGAATTATAACTATATACAGGGCTTAAAAAACTAATTGCCTCTTCTTTGGTAATTTTACATTTTGAAAGACAGAAAATACCTGTGGAAAGAATGTAAATATTGTAAGATATTACAAAATCATAACAGAAAAGTGCTCCGAAATAAGCAACCAATGATGAGTGAAATAATTCTACATCTCTTTATGACAGCTTAAAATCACTTCTCTTATACTAGCAGAGAAATAAGGAACAGCTATCGGCATGACATACGAAATAAGCAAATGAAAATACATATGTTAAAACTACATACAACACTTGAAAAAGTAATGCAGCAAAGCCTGTTTAAGAAGTTTATTTCTTAAAGTCATAAGTATTTTTTTTTATTCTAATAATGATAAATTTCCTCACACAAAATATATTACCTTGAAATAAATTATTTGCCCAATTAAAAAATCTGCACATATCTTTCAAGAAACTTTCCATTATATCGAAACAGATACTTTTTAATACTTTTTTTTTAATTCTTATGGAATGCACATACTTCCCCAATTTGAACTAGAAATGGAAGTCAAAGTACTAACACTTTTTTCTATTGCTGTCAATGCCTCCTGACTGAGTACAGAAACCACCTGCTATCATCATAATGGCTAGCAAGATACCTAGGTGAATTAGTTATTTAATGCAGTAGAAAAGGTTGCTAAGTTTTGGTCCATTTTCTTTTACAATTTGTAACATGAAACAGGATGGATTGCTTAGAACAGGAAAAAGAGGATGACTTATTCATCTTTTCTAATTCTTTTAAGACATTGAGAAATTTGAAAAAGTGGAAGACGCTTCCACTTTCTTCTATCTTCACTTATGAAGCACATTCTTTGAAATGTTAAATTTTCCACTTGAAAAGCATGTTTTAAAAATGGCACCTAAAAACATCCAAAGAAAAACTTTATTTAACACAGAACACAAATTTTTATTAACCCGCGAGCGAGTGCACTGGGTCCAATAGACCCGCGCTATTAAACAAAAACCTTACTTAAAGCATGCCTATTTCACTCAAGTTGTTAAGGTCCAGTGTAGTCATGTCTTAGGTTGACCTCTTTATGCTTCCAAAGTTTTTTCACTAGGGTTTTGATTTGGAATCTTGATTTTGATTGCATCAGGTCTTTTAGACAAAGCATGCATATTCATGTTACTGTTACATACTTGATTTGTAATAGTACAGAAAACGGCAAATATGTCACATAATTTATCTTACAAGAAAGAAATTTTGCAAAAGTTATTAGATGTATCAACTGGTGAAGAATATATTGAAGAAAATGAGGATGGAAGTGATCATGAATTTTTAGTTCACCTGATATTGATTCAGATATTGATATAGATTCTGAAAACGAAAGAGAGCATGACATAAATTGTTTTACTGAAAAAATTATCGGAAACAAAAATTTAAGAAAAAAAAAAAAAAAATCTGAAATTTTTCAGATTTTAAATTACGTCCAAAGGGGCGTTTTTTTAACGTTTTGAGTGTTACCTTTATTTATTAAATATCATGTTCTTTGCACTTAAACCATAAAATTCAGTTCAAGAGCAATATTGCAAAATAATGTTAAATTAAGCATATCTTTAGAATTTCCGATATACACAGTCTCGCGAGCTGGAGATTAAAAGTATTTTTTTTTATATAACGTTGCCATTTCTCGCTTTAAAGCATTGAGTTTGTAAATCAAAAATTCGTTTTTAAAGTTTTACAAAATATAAAATCTATAATAAAACAAATTCCAAATTTGGGATTTCAGATGCCCATATTCGCAGTAGGATTTCGTCATTCAAAATTCGATGGCTCTATGTACCATTGTTTTATCACAATGCGAGAAATAGACAATCATTTATGCAGATTTTTCATTATTTAATTTCTTCAAATATAATGCAGGACTCTAACATTTTGTGGCAACAGTTTGAAAAGTGAACCGACGTTTATGAGTCCGACGCAAAATGCCAAAACGAAAGCAATAGTCCTTCGGGACTGAAATCCCTTTGGACTAAAAAGATTCAGTGTTTGCCCAGTGAAAAATTGCTGAAAAATGAAACATGCTTCATCAAATGTAAAAAATATTTGTATTTGGAACACACAAAAACACTTTCTTCAATGTGCTGCTGACATTTGTTGTTTCATTTGTTCTCAGTGTCTATAGTGCTTATAAAGAAAATTAGAATCAATACAGAGTAAAGGTATTTTTTTTTTTTTTTTTTTTTTTTTTTTTGTCTACACTAATATATAATATGATTTTCTATTCCCTTAAGAAATTGTATTTCATTAAAGCATTTGAAGAAATTAAAAATTTTAATTTGCCTAGTTTTTAAATTTGATCATAAAATTTATTATTGGCATAGATGCAACACTTTTTCTGAAGATTTACAATATTTTCTTCAAATAACATAAATTGGGTCTTTTGGACTCAGCATGTGCACTTGTGTAACAGATATGAGAGTGCATCCTCCTGGGTTAAAAGAAGTGGATAAAATCCTTATTTATTTTAAATTCAAACTGCAAATAACTTAGCTGTGACTAATCTAAACGGTATTGTTGCTGAATAATGAAGTTATTTATAGTGAAATGTATGCATGGGTGTATTAAAAAATACCTTAAAATAAACATTTCTTTACAAAAATATGAAAACAATTTCTTTGCACGTTTTACAAATAAGTTGTTTTGAACACGCTAATGTTATTCATACAGAATAGCTTTCAATCCATTAATTACTATCTAATACAAAAGCCTTTTTTAAAATACATGAAATAGAAATTATAGATCAAAGCAGTCCATCTGAAAATACTTATTAGAAAATCTCGAACACCATAAAGGAGAAAAATATAAGATTCAGATTAAGAATTTTTTTTTTTTTTTTTTTGTAATACACAACTTTATGGGGAAAAAATTGAAACAGACATGCTTTTTGTATTATAGAATTTCTTCAGAAGAATAGTAATGTAAAAGTGAAAAGAAAAAAAGTTTTGACTTTTACAATGTAACTCAAACACAAACAGGAAGCAAACATAAATAAAACATTTTTGTATAGTTATAGCTACAAACTTCCTAATTCTAAATAAATAAATTAATAAAAATTATTTAGATTTTTAAGACGTTTTTAAAGGAATTTAGTCCTTCTTATAAATGACAGACATGTCTTCAAATACTTTTCAACAGAAGAATACTCTATTTTAATTAATCATTAAGATAAATTTTTCAAAATATATATTTCTCCCAATAAGTTAAACTGCCATATATAAATGCTTTTATTCAATAATACACTGAAAGTTTTTTTGTAGATCTGTGGCAGTTTGTAAAGCATTTCCTTATTAAAGTGACTGTCACATAAACCTCTGGTGACATTTTAACATTTTTGTTAGCTTTTTAGATTGATTTTTAGGTGTTGTAAGCTAAATGAACATTCTATACATTTGTCAATATAAGATTTTCAGCATAATCATTTGAAGATAAACAGGTAAGTATGAGAGATATCCCAAGATCTGAGCATATTTCTAGAAGTTCAAGAAAAATGAAACATTAATTCTTGCACTGTTCAAGAATCAACTAATTGTATTATATTTTTTATAATCATGTTTACATAATATCAAAATTAAATTATTAATCAAAATGCTAAGTACCAGCAAGAAAGGAAAAATATGTCAAATAGTGGACATGAGAAATGAACTTTTGGCATTTATCACATAAAAAAGATTACCTGTAACAAATAATGATGCAGTAACACGATCTGTTCCTGCACTATTGGTAGCTATACAAGTATAATTTCCTATGTGCTCTAAACCTAAAGGGTTGATTGTGAGGGATGATGTCCATTCATCTAATTGTTCAATTCTTCCAGATGAAACAGGTAGTCCATCTTTCTTCCACTGGAAATCAATAGGTTGATCTCCAGTAGAGGCAACACATAGTAACTTTGCTCTTGATTCAATAGTTAAATGACTTGGTATAGATAATGGATTCAACTTTGGAATTTCTGGAAATTAAAAATATAATTAAACTGATAAACATGCTATCACATTATAAAAATTACATTAACTTCCAACATTCATCATTTTATAACACAATCAGTTTTTAGGTGATAACTGTTATTCAGTTATTTTATGAAGAATTATTTAATTTATCTCGCAAAATGAACTTTCGAGAACATTATGCAAAATGTTCTAAGTGGATGAGCATGGAAAAAAGGCCTCATGAAGAAAAATATTCTGGATCAGCTTTGCTTATGTAATATTATAAAACAATTAAAAAGAACTATTTTACTTTTCAAATTGGTAGATGAATATTCATGCATTATAAAAGTTTTTACTTGTAACAATCTTTAAAACCTGACTCATTCATTACTTTACAATCAATCTCATTATGCCAAGGAACTTCTGCTAGAAAGCCTGTTCAGTATTTGATATTCCACAAAACAGCTTATTTGACCCATAACAAGTACAAGTTTTCATTTTTGTTAGCACTGCTTAGCACATTTCTCAAAATCGCCAACTTGAAAATAAAAAGTCAAATACTACACATCGACCTATTTTCACTCAAGAAAAACATCAGAAAACTGCAAAAACTTGGCACTGCACACTCCCTTGATTTTCTCCATGTACACATCAACACGCATCATATAAGTGGGTGATTCTACATCAACTTGAAAATAACAAGTCAAAGAATTTCCCAAACTCTATCCATGTACACGTCAATCTATTTTCACTTTAAAAAACATCAGACTAGGCATTGCACACTCCTTTGTCCATGAACACATCAATACATGCCATATAAGTGGGCAATTCTGCACTTATTATTCAAATTTAAATACCAGTTTAGATCTTAATTTATTAAAATTACAGGAAAAACAAATAACTTTATTTCAAAAAACTATACAGATAGAAACTTAGAAATACTTATATTAACTGAAACTGCTCAACTAAAACTATACAATGAAAACAAATGCAATCAAAGCTAATATATTAGAATTTATTTTTAGTAATATTTAGAATTTATTTTTAGTAATTTTTAGAATTTATTTTTTCAGTAATTTTTCACGTAAAAATATTGCAATAAAAACAATACAAGTAAAAATTTTTAAAAAGATATTTATTTTCTGAATTATAATTTTTTTAACATAATTTACTTGTACTATTGTAATGAATGTATTTTTTGATACCCTCCTCACAGAATTCTACAACCTGTGTAAATAGCCAGTTATTCACTTCTCCATAAGTATTCCAACCTTTCTTGAATAATCTCCTCGTTTTCACACTTTTCTGTCACTAAGTGCTTCTTCACTGTACACGTCACATGCCTGACCACACCTAATGTCAATGACTAAGTAAAATTTTCATATTTTTGCTGTTAAGAACCAATTAACTGTATCAGTGAGATTAATTTTCCTAAACATTTTAAATTTACACTACAAAGCATATGGACTGATGCCATAAATGCAAGTGATGTCAGATTCTGTACAAAATCTGATAGAAGCCTCCATATGCACTCATTCTCAAGCATATATGAAATTTCGGTACTTTTCCGTTTTGCTAACGCAAATCTCACCAAGTAGACTTTACTGGCAAAAACACACAGTATACAGATAAAAAGTGTTGAAAAATGTTAGTTCTAAGAATTTTTTATTTTGAAGGTATAAACATTTTAATGTCGTTTAAAATTTTGTAAAAAAGCCAATAAATTTGTAAAAGACATTAATTTAAGAATTTACTATGCTTTCATCGTACAACATCCTGATTCGCCGGTTCATATCACGTGATCCCAAGTGATATTATCTCACAAAACTACGCTACAAAAATCTAATTCTCGCAGTAATTATCTACACTAATTTCAAGTGAAATCTTAATTTGGAATACAAGTTTAAATGCAAGAACTATTTCAATTGGTACAAATAGCTTACTCAGAAGTTAAAACCGCAGTGCTTTACTTCGCTAGTGTATTCTCATTAAAATCGATGAATTTACCCTTTGCCTTTTCTATATTTTTGCCATCGGGTGAACGGTGTGATTGCATCCTAATTGACTTAATTACTGCCCTTGAATGGCCTTAGGACATAAAATTGAACTATCTGATAAAAATTCTATGTAATTGTATGCCAGTATTTGAAAGAATCAATCTGATAAGAAATGGCTGCGACTTGATTTGAAAATGCGAAAGTTAAAGTAAAAGGTTACCAGCGAGGATATTTCGTTTGGCATTGGTTGTACCATTACTGGCAACTTTATCACATGCACGGGCAAAACAGAAAGACTAAATAATACTCAGACTTTACTTAAAAAATTTCCTATATATATATATATATATATATCTAGCTCAGAAAGTAGCCTGAAAGTCTGAAGATGTGCATAGAAAATAGGTTTGCTTTTTATTGTTATGTTCCAGTACTTTTTAAACGACATTATGAATCTTGTTATTTGATAGATGATTAGCAGCAGCACCTTCAACAATACTACAGCTATATTTCATTCTAAAACAATTACATAAATTATAATAATTTTAAAGCAGAAATAGACATCAAGATTTCCTTTTCATTCAACTGGTTATTTATTATAATTACTGTATGTTGGCTTGCAACAAGTCAGCATATTATTGCAAACCTGAAGAAAGGCAGACTGTGGATTGAGAACTACCACGCAGATTAACCAGTGAATCTTCGGATTATGGTAACTTGGCGATTTTTTGGTGAAAATTTAGCGACCAACCCTGCTACAGCGACCTGGTGTTTTTTTGGGGGGAGGGGGGTTCAATTTTGTTTTCACGAAGTAAAGGCATTTTTTTGTTTTACTCAATATTTTTTCCAACAATCTGCTAGCCGAATTACGCTTATGCTAGAATTTTTATGGAACAAAAGTACTTAATCATGATGAAGATTAGGTGCCGAAATTGTTTCTAAGTACTTATTACTAAAATCACGAATGGAATTTTCCGGAAAGTAGTGAAACAAACGTGCATATAAATTTGTTTTTACAAGGCAAATTTATATATCAAACATGTAAATAATTTTTTTCATAAATCTGAAAAACGAAAAAGCAGGAATAGCATTATTTATTGCTTATATTTAGAACAATGTATAAATATAATCTCTTCAAATGATTAAAAATACTAACTTAGCATACTCCATACACTCATACACCATTCAAGCAACTCTTTTGGATGATCACACAAATGCAATAAAAGTTTGGAATTTACTTTAGAGAGGGCCATGGGATCCAAATATTAGGTAACACTGTTTCACACAAGATGGAATGAAGCTGAACATACAAAATGGTATGAAGTACTGCAGATATTTTTGAAAATTTCCCTTTTTGGATTAAAGAACTCGATTCGTCCATAAATGTCACAGAACATGTCTCGATCTCTCATTCTCCGAGACAAAATCTGCGATTGGAACTGTGTACTTCTCATTATGTTTAAGTCCTAGCTAGTAACCTTTATCGCCTTACCAAAAGGTTGCGAAACTAACTATTACCATATTCCAAAGATTAACCGATTAACCCATTCAGGCACGCTACTTTTTTAAGTTGGAATTTCAACAAAAAAAAAAGAAAAGAAAAGAAAATGGTAGGCAGTTTAATCAGGCCTAGAAGAGTACACAGGTACAATTTTGTAAAGATAGCACACACCATTTTAATTCTGTGGGTTTACCAAAGCAGCCTCACCGAATGAAGAAAGCTTCGAAAAGAGTGCTGAAGCGAGCTTTGCCGGTAAGCATGTAATAGAGTAAATGATATATCTGCAATTAAAAACACTACATTCTGATTACCACTGCAGATTTAGCATTACCCAGGGTGAACCACAGGGAGGCCTGCTACTCTACACCCCAGAAAAAAAAGGTCGTCTTAGTTATATGATGATTACATGCATATAAATGGGGAAAAAAAATGACTTGACTAAATGATAGTTAATTAGTTACACTTTTGTCTATATATTTTCATGGTGGTACTTTCTGAGGCAAGTGACACAATCTTTGAAAAAGCACAACCAAACATTTCATGTTTTGCAAATGTACCGGGATTCGTATCGGATCCACTATTTGTAGGCAATTCATTTAGCACTTTCAATGCTTTAGAAATGGTCAGCCTTCTCCGACCCACTTGCAAAATAATTATAAATCACTAAAAAAAATAATAATACTATTATATCTCTAATTAAGAAAATATAAACTATAAAATAAAATTAAATAAGTATCTAGAACTCAAAATTACCAAAACGTAGAGCTAACAAAACTTCTTTCAACAGAAAAGAAAGAAAACTGCTCAAGTGAAAAATCAGAGCTAATTACAGAAACTACAACACTACCATTGGTGACATGACAAGATAACAGGAAACAGCATCAATCAACGATTCTTATAAAAATGCTATTTCTGCTGTTTATCTTCAGGCAGTGCTCAATAACGATCACTCATTCAGAAATTATTCTGAGAATTTTGTATACTTTTCTGTGCGATATGGCATATGATAAACATATTTTAATAATATTTTTAAATAAAGTTCAATACAAAAATTGTATATATATCTATGCTAACTGCATTACCATAAAAAGAAAACTCACTAAACAACAATCATTTTTTATGCAAAGAGATTCTGCTTTGACTCGCGTTTGTTTACTTCGGCAAAGTGCTACGTGTTAAAGTGTGGGGTTTCTTCTTGTACTGTGGTGATTAGTTTGCGCTTTAAGTAAAGCTAAAAACAGATTATTTTGTTCTCCTGGTTTGGTGTTTACAAAGAAGATACAGGTAGGAGAATTTTCCTTTTATTTTGTGCGGAGACGCAAATTGTGATGAAGAAAGATGGAGTGGAGCTCTGTGAACGGGTCTAGCCCGGACTTTCAGTATAAACCACCCATATCATAGGAATGTCTATTAAAAATTTGTCATGAAAAAGGAGTAAGAAATTACTCCATCTTTCTTAAAGGTATAGAGAAAAATATTAACGTAAACAATCCTAAAATTTTGAAAGATGAAATATCTAGCAAAGTGG